CACACACACACACACACACACACACACACACACACACACACACACACACACACACACACACACACACACACACACACACACACACACACACACACACACACACACACACACACACACACACACACACACACACACACACACACACACACACACACACACACACACACACACACACACACACACACACACACACACACACACACACACACACACACACACACACACACACACACACACACACACACACACACACACACACACACACACACACACACACACACACACACACACACACACACACACACACACACACACACACACACACACACACACACACACACACACACACACACACACACACACACACACACACACACACACACACACACACACACACACACACACACACACACACACACACACACACACACACACACACACACACACACACACACACACACACACACACACACACACACACACACACACACACACACACACACACACACACACACACACACACACACACACACACACACACACACACACACACACACACACACACACACACACACACACACACACACACACACACACACACACACACACACACACACACACACACACACACACACACACACACACACACACACACACACACACACACACACACACACACACACACACACACACACACACACACACACACACACACACACACACACACACACACACACACACACACACACACACACACACACACACACACACACACACACACACACACACACACACACACACACACACACACACACACACACACACACACACACACACACACACACACACACACACACACACACACACACACACACACACACACACACACACACACACACACACACACACACACACACACACACACACACACACACACACACACACACACACACACACACACACACACACACACACACACACACACACACACACACACACACACACACACACACACACACACACACACACACACACACACACACACACACACACACACACACACACACACACACACACACACACACACACACACACACACACACACACACACACACACACACACACACACACACACACACACACACACACACACACACACACACACACACACACACACACACACACACACACACACACACACACACACACACACACACACACACACACACACACACACACACACACACACACACACACACACACACACACACACACACACACACACACACACACACACACACACACACACACACACACACACACACACACACACACACACACACACACACACACACACACACACACACACACACACACACACACACACACACACACACACACACACACACACACACACACACACACACACACACACACACACACACACACACACACACACACACACACACACACACACACACACACACACACACACACACACACACACACACACACACACACACACACACACACACACACACACACACACACACACACACACACACACACACACACACACACACACACACACACACACACACACACACACACACACACACACACACACACACACACACACACACACACACACACACACACACACACACACACACACACACACACACACACACACACACACACACACACACACACACACACACACACACACACACACACACACACACACACACACACACACACACACACACACACACACACACACACACACACACACACACACACACACACACACACACACACACACACACACACACACACACACACACACACACACACACACACACACACACACACACACACACACACACACACACACACACACACACACACACACACACACACACACACACACACACACACACACACACACACACACACACACACACACACACACACACACACACACACACACACACACACACACACACACACACACACACACACACACACACACACACACACACACACACACACACACACACACACACACACACACACACACACACACACACACACACACACACACACACACACACACACACACACACACACACACACACACACACACACACACACACACACACACACACACACACACACACACACACACACACACACACACACACACACACACACACACACACACACACACACACACACACACACACACACACACACACACACACACACACACACAAAATCCATTGATAAGTTTTATTTTTAGTAATTTTATTAATTTTCTCCTGTGTTGTTGTTATTTAATTTTTGTACCGCATGTTATGGAGCGGGCGTTAATAGCTGCGACACAGTCTCTTTGTGACTAATGCAGTTATTATCGAACCTACAAAAAACTGTAAATTAAGCTAAGGATCCCAAATAAACATTTTTATTTATTATTATTTATTTATAGCAATGCCAAAAAATCATCATAACACACACCTCAAATCATATCCAAAATACATACTAACATCAAAAACAACGCTGTGAGTATTCCCATATATAAGTTCTTCGCAATCCATCGTGGAGTTATCGAACCACCAAGCGGGACAAGTCTGATTGGAGGGAGCCTGGTAATTTCTATTAACGTATCTCACGCACTCTTCAAAGGAATCTACGCTGATGCCAGGCACGGCGTTCAATATCCACTCAGGACGGAATTCTGGGTGAAGTATGTCGGGATCGCATTGGGGAATGCGACATCTGAATCATAGAGAAGATCGTACTTGATTTATATAAGAAGAATTGCCTTCTTGTGGTCATTATTTCATTCTATGATGATATTATTGTAATGCATATAGTATCTGCAAACATTTATGGTAATTTACACTTCATACATATTCTTGTTGCTCATCTTGTAATTTTTGTACCTATCTGATTCTATATTCTTGGCATTAAATAGTTCTTCAGTTCTCTATTGTTTTTATTGCAACTTTTTTTTAATAAAATGACGACAAAAAAGGTTTTTGACCATCAGCTGTGCCATCAGTGAAATCAACAGGCTGCGAGTTATTAAATATTGAGATTATTAAGTTACAGTTAATAGTGTCAAAACATACGAATATAACAACTTTGATAGTGTTTACACCACTACATTATCACAAAATAATTTCAAATACTGTTTTTCCTTCTTTACCAACTCCAACCAATACATTTTTGTATTTTCATATCATTAATAAAACTTAACTGCATGTCGTTAAAAATTCTAACAAGTGCGTTACCTGGTGGGTATTCTGGCTACTGTGAAAATATATTCACTGGTAAAGGCTCCAAATATCGCCGGTAAGGATGCAAGCGCCAGAGTGATTAGTTGATAACGCCCTAATTGTCCGATTTCTTCTACCAATATAAGATCCAAGTCGACGCCACTGTTACCATTATCAGAGTTTGTTGATGGTCTTTCTTTCTTAACACTAGACATACTTAAGTTAAGGCTAAAACAGAAAACAATGATGAGGTCAAAAGTAAATTTATTAGTGATAAATACTTGGCAAGTAGAAATATTCAAAATAGTTTTTGAAAATAACTCGTAAATAAAAGATATCTACTATAGTTAAACAATAAAAAAATATTTAAATATTGTATTTTTTTATAATTTCACTGCACTTTCAAAAAATTGCTCCTTTTAAATTGACTGCTCTTTAATGAAAATTTAATATCATCAAGCAGTACTTACTATGCTATAGTTACACTGTACACATTTTCGCTAGCTACAGATTCAGATTAAGAGATCAAAATAATCTCACACAGCTCGTCGATCGCACAATACGATGACTGCAAATCAATTGAAATAAGACAGATCAATGAAACTGATAATACTTTAGGTGATAATAAATTATGTCATTCCACATTCAAGATGTCTTCACGTTTATATTTGGTGATCTATTAAATATCTTGGCTTCTGTTCTGCTGCGGAGAAAAATCTCCATCATAATAGTATAACTACCTTCTCCAAGACCCGTAAAAATAATTTTTAAAACTTTAATCGCCCAATCGTATTTTATCGAGGGAACGCGATTTAATAGAAGTTAGATACAGTTTCAATGTCAATCTACAAAATAAAAGAATTTATGTTAAGAGAAACATTACATTTTATTATTCTTGCACAAAATGGTTCAGTACTTTGTTTTGTAATTGTATAATTCAATAATCGGTGTCAGTATCGTTGTGCTGGTCTCTCGGCTTGATGATGCCGAGCTTGGTGGCGAGGGAGGCGACGTTGGCCCTCACCTCCTCTTGTACAAGGTTGAACGACATCGCCAGTAACGCTATACCGAATAGCAGGTACAAGGAACAAAGTGCTATGGAGTGGACTGCTGCCGCTGGGTCTTCCACACTTTGGCCCTGAAGACAATATATATCAGACAATAAGACAATTATCACAACTGAATACCATATATAATAAATGTTAATTGTTTTAATAGCTAAAAATATTAGTAGGTATTACTATCTGTGGTCGTGTGGTCCCGGCATAGAATAGGGCACCCCTTCTTTTCCCATAGATATCGTAAGATGCGACTAATGGAGGGCGAAAGATAGGCGGCAGCGTCCCTCTTAAAACATCTCTAAAGTCTAACTGCGAGTGCCAAGCTGCCTGCCACGCGTGGCAACTTCTGGCAAAATCGGGTATTGAGGTAAACAAAATAGAATTCGTATGATTCGCTAAGCGATAAGCAGTTTCAGTAGCTTTTGATTTTGCTTCACCTTATCAAAGAAATGTTTACTTTGAAAAGACATGGCATCTTGACTAGAGGAATTTTAACTAGAGGCATCACTCACACGTTGTCAATCCTTCTTACAGCACTAAATTATTTATTTGCATCTCTCACTCTTGGAATTGCGACACAATATGCAAGCAAATTTACGTTTAGAGCTCCCACCTGAGCTGGCACAAAGTCACCGAATCCAATGGTGGTGAGCGTGATGAAGCAGAAGTAGGCAGCATCCAGATACGCCCAGCCCTCCCAGCGTTTGAACAGGAACGTGCCGGCCACGATGTATGACGCCACTAGGAATACACACAACCAGATCGGCACCGGCTTTATCTGAAATTACACGAATTTAAAAAAATCCTCTCATGCGTAGCAAAATATAGAATAAAAGAACAAAAAGTACAGATCAAGAGATAGAATATGGAATCAGGTAATGTTAAACTAAAATTACAATGCAAGAACAACATACAAAATTGTTCACAAATGCAAAAGTGTTGTTTGGGCTACTATTAAGAATAGAATAGAATTTTATTGCTAACAGTGTACATACATATAGTAGTAACCATTGCTTTGGATTTGACATCAGTATCAACAGTTTTTTGTTTGGGCTACTATTAAGAATAGAATAGAATTTTATTGCTAACAGTGTACATACATATAGTAGTAACCATTGCTTTGGATTTGACATCAGTATCAACAGTTTTTTGTTGTTTTGGGTTTGACATCAGTTATACCCTATCGGGCATGCAACAATTTAAGAACAGGTAGTAAGCTAGTAATTACATTAACATCGAAACATTCAAATACTATTACCATTACTTGATTACAAATAAATATGAAATATTTGACAATACAAGACAAAGAATAATCATAACCAAATTAAAATAAAATAAACATAATTTCGCTTAAATGACAATTATTATTGATTATTAATTTAATGAGTTTTAAGATCAAAGTATACATTTAAATTATAAAAAAACATTAATCAAATTAAAAATTAAAACACCAATCATATATGTTTTTTATAAACATATCCTATGTACAGACGTCGTATTATATTAGTAATATAATGGTTAAGAAAGGTTAATAAGATCTTGTGTATAGACAAGGAAAGAGTGTAACATTATTTCGTAATACATACTTCTTCTTTTGCAGGTACCTCAGGTGGAAACGGATATATTTCAGATTGACGGGAACCCCACGCTGAAAATGTTAAGGCGACTAATTACATTAATTCTTAGTGTCCGACGACTTTATTTAATATGTCTTTAGTAAAGACGAATTTGCTTATTATTAATGACAGAGAGAGAGAGAGAGATAAAATAAAGAAGTACACAGACAAGTCCATTGTCTCAACTCTCAAATAGTCTTCTAACCAATCTTTTGTATTAAAGTGTTTCTAAAAAGTTTGGCTGCTTTTATAATTCATTTACCTTGGTGACGATGTCGCTTAGGCGAAACAACGACTTCGTCACTCCAGTCATCTCGGTCCGGTGATGGCGACTAAAGCAGAGAGAAACTAACATTAAATTCATTGGTTTTCAGATTGTAAAAAATTATTGATTACTGACCGATTAATCTAACCGATAATTTATAAGATAATTATGATCTAACATAATTCTCCAATTCTAAGATATTTTTAAGTTAAAAGTTCAGTATAGAAAATTTTTAAATTCAACAACTTTTTTCATCATTTCTCATCTTTTAAGATCTTCTAACTATAAATAAATTTATTTGAAAAGGCTACTTCCGTGTAGCTTTTTTTTTATACAACTTAGAATGGCAAACAAGCTGACGGCCCACCTGATGGAAAGTGGTAACCGTCGCCTATAGACATGAGCAGTACCATGGACATAACAGAATATACTGTTTCGCCCATGATACCCCCCATGCGTTGCCATTCCTTAGGACTCAGGTGTTATTCCTCTGTACCCAGTAAATTCACGCCATATCCCACCCTTCAAACCGAAACACAGCCATGCAAACACAACTGCTTCACGGTTGAAACACAAATGGGACAGAGGTACCCAAGCAATCGACTTTTGTACAAAGTCTCCCTCTGGTAGCTGTTCGAAGACCTGGCAATACTGTTCAAGATGGAAATCTTAACTCAAGCAGTACAGTTATTAAATAATATTATAAACATCATTGATATTTTTAGTTGTAGCTTGTCATTAGAAAAGGCTCAGAAACATCTTGAGTCGGGTTAAAATACCTTTATTATAATTTTGTATGTTAGCACACTAGGTTTATAATATTGATTTGGTTTACGCTGTCATAATATTATAATTATTTTTAATGCATAGATAAATCTTAAATGATTGTAATCTCACATATCTATAAGACAGCCGTGCAGTATCGTCGACAGTGTACAGCCTGCGCAGGCGCCGCCCGCGGCCGGTCTCCACGTCTCGGTCCCTGTCGTCGGCCCACCGGTGCTCGTAATCATAGATGGCACTGCGAGCTCGTCGGCCCCGCCTTCTATCGTCAGCCAAGTCCTCCCTGTCACGCTCATAATATTCAGAACGACCGCGTTCTGCCCTGATGCAAAATAAATTCAAAATAAATAACAGTACGTTTAATACGCGAAAAGAATTCATTTTTACAAATAAATACGACAATAATCTTTCGTGTGGTCCCGGCATAGAATAGGCCACCCCTTCCTTTCCCGTGGGTGTCATAAGGTGACTATGGGAGGGCGAGGGATGGGCAGCAGCATCCCTCTTAAAACATCTCCAAAGCCTAACTGCGGTTACCGATCCGCCTGCTAAGCGTGGCAACTACTGGCAAAATCCCTCTAATGGGACGCTTATGTCCAGCAGTGGTCAGTTAAAAGCTGGTATGACGATGATGATAATGGTAATAATAAAAAAAATGACGATTTAAAAGTCACAATGAAGAGCGCAATAAATTGTCAAAGTATATGAAGATCACGAATTACAATAACCAACAATTTTATTAGCCTGCCACATGCAATTCCTACACAACAATACGAGTCGTATTTATATGTATTACTTATTTTAAATAGATAGATAATCTTTATTACCAGTAATAATATTAAAAAAAAATCAACAATAAAAAGTAAAAAAAACAATTTTTTTTTTTATACAACTTAGAATGGCAAACAAGCTGACGGCCCACCTGATGGAAAGTGGTAACCGTCGCCTATAGATATGAGCAGTACCATGGACATAACAGAGTATACTGTTTCACCCATGATACCCCCCATGCGTTGCCATTCCTGAGGACTCAGGTGTTATTCCTCTGTACCCAATGAATTCACGCCATATCCCACCCTTCAAACCGAAACACAGCCATGCAAACACAACTGTTTCACGGTTGAAACACGAATGGGACAGAGGTACTCAAGCAATCGACTTTTGTACAAAGTCTCCCTCTGGTATTTTTCTGGTAATAGGAGCCGCCTCAGCTATATATCAGCTCCTCTTGTTATATATGTACAGCTCCAGCGAGATGTACCTATACAGCGCTGATTTTCAGGCGGCCCCTTAACTCCCTTTACCTTTAACATGCGTGTGAGTCGCCAATACCTATTTCTCGAATGGGAGACTCAACACGCTTAACAACAAATACATAAAACATTACAACCAGAACTAAAAAGAATAAACTCTGAATAAATTATCGCACTTGACAATGACAGTATCATAAAAAAATAAAAAAAAAAGACAAGAACGTGAAGCGTCAGTTTCTCAGCTGTTTTGAACATATTTCTCCAATAAGATTATTTTAAGTTAGTTCATTACCTTCTCCATTTGCTACAAATTTACATTTAACATACGTAACAGTTATTTTAGTTTAAGTAAAATTATAGTCAATGTATGAACAATACCTCCAGTCATGTCGCACCCTCTTACTTCTTGGAGCATCAAATTCAAAATCCTCATCTTCTGGATCATACGCCCTGTCTCTGTAATTATAACCGTCGTGCTCTTTCCTCCTTCTCTCTCTTTCTTCTAACGCTTTCCTTTCTTTATAGTTCTCATAATCGACGTCGTGAAGATCATGCATTTCATACATATCCTTAGAATTATCAATATCATAATGTCCATTGTCATCAAAATCTCTCCGTGGCCCATAATCTGGTTTGGACTTTGCAGGTCTTGGCAGTGATTTACTTCGCAGCTCCGATTTTGAGGTTATTTTCATCTGATGGTTGTCTAAATCTTTCAGTGCGGCTTCTAAGTCCTGCAGGGGGAGTGATATTTTTGGAAACCCCTCTGGAATAATAACAATGATACTTGTTATTAACTAAACAAAATCAATTGTTTCATTATTTATTTTGTTATTATCCTAATACAGTGTTCACTTGCCTTCATCATCGTCGTACTGATCTCGTGCATATTTCTCGTACCGAACTGGTGAACAATCTTCACGATCATATTCTCTCGTACCTTTTGGACAATAATACAAGAAATACTTATTGATTAGGTGTAAGATACTTAAAGTGTATGAATAAAATACATAATGCATTAGGGCCGTAGCTAGAACCAAGTTTAAGGTATGGCAAAAGAACTTTTTGATAGGGCAGAAGCCCTATTAAGTGACTTTGAAAAAGTGAATCTGTTTAACCTTCATGAGGCCTTTCATTTTAAGGTAGGGCATTGGGCCTTTTAAGGTAGGCACTGCCCCTCAATACTCCCCACCCCCTGCTCCCAGCTACGACCATGTAACGCAGTAAAATTACAAGAGATAGAGGCATAACATCTTAGTCCGTAGGAGTTACAATTGCTGCTTATTTACGCACACGCATACACGGTTATATATGCTGACCATGTCTAAAGATTTAAGGAGGAAGGTTACCGCTTTCCAACAGGTGAGCCGTCAACTTTTTGCCATTCTAAGTTGCATACAATAAAAAAAATCATAAATATCTACCGTATCCCCTTGTATGAGTAGACAGTGGGGGCTGCGAGCGGGCGGTGCGCGCGGCTGGGGGCGGCGGCGCCGGCGGCTGGCGGGGTCGCCGCGCGCGCCCGCTGCTGTACCCGCTGTCACGGTATCTGGTACACAAAACTTTATGACACTGTACATAAAGACTAGATTTTAAGTGACCGAGAGTTTACCGTTTCCTATCAAATTGGCTGACTGAAGAGCCTGTTGAAGGAATGCCAATTTGTATAAAGAAATTTGTAGAAAAAAAAATACATAATTAGAGATATCATTGCAGAGCTTTTCAATGTTTTAAGCTAAGCATGGACCATAATGTGATGGTTGTCGGGAGTGCACTGTCTATAATTACGCTGGAAACTTAAAAACAATAACTTCTATCTGTGCCGTTCCACAAAAAAACCGACTTCAATTATGGTAAGCCCAGTTACGAGTATTTTTATTTTAAAACAAAACAACTGAACCGAATTTGAAAAAAAATCTATTGTAACCAATCAGTAAGTATATCCCTTCAGATAAAAAAAAAGAAATTTCTAAATCGGTTTATAACTGACTGACTGACGTAACAAATATAAAAATATAACCAGAATTTAAACTTCTTTATTAACCCTTTGAGTGCCGACGAGCGCCATCGCGCTCGTGCGCATTGCAACTAAAAGTGCCACGAGCGTCATAGCGCTCGTGAAATCAGTCGCTGTTTAGCTTGCTGTAAAAAAAAATATTAATATTGGATAATTTTTGAAGGAGATACAGTTTTTTTAGAGACAAGGGTAAATGACATCAACACGACAATGATTTCTTTGGCATTTTTAAGTAGACATGAGTAAAAATCAATGGCACTAAAAGGGTTAAATTCAATTGAAAATAGGTAACACTGTAAAGTTAAGTAAGACAATAGTACCAATCCCTGCGTATTATCGTAATTACAGCTAGCAAAGCAGCGTGTCAACATAAAGTGTGACAACATAAAGGACTAATATTTTCTCTAATATTGTTGAATACTAGAGAAAATATTAAAAACTTGTATACACCTGCAATCAGTGTCGGAATGTGCCCGCTCTAAAGGACGACGGCGACGCGTGGAGCCGCGGCCGCTGCCCGTGCGTATCGACCGCCTGTCAAGAAAACAAAATACCCAGACGTTATAGAAATAGTCAGCGACGATTAGAAACAAATATAGATAGATACTCTTTATTGTTTCTTCCAAAAGATTACAATAGTAACAAACAATTACAAGAAAATATTACACTGAGAAAACAATGGGAGGTCTTATTGCTAAGAGCTATCTCTTCCAGGCAACCTTTGGATGGAGAAGAGTAGGATGATGATGAAAACCAGCAAAGAATGTTAGACCTCCCGTACTAACTTGATAGGTGGACTTATTTCCATCACTTTGGTGTGGTTCGAAATACTTGACATTAGAAATGTATACTTTCACCGGTGGAATGCCTATGACTTCGACTTTACCCAATATATTTTTTCATTTTTAAGCAATTTCGTTAAACCATATAAGATATGTAACTGCAGATAGTTCGATTATTGTACTATGCACAGAGCCAATGCTCTGTGCATATGCAATCATAGAATTATTTTCAAGACGGCAAGCAGAGTTACTTATCTTTTTTTTTTGTTATAATTGTGTATGCCTAGAACTCGTATCTGCTTAAGGTTAAGAAAAAGAGACAAATTATAAGAACTATTGAGAACATATGGGGAAAAAGGTTAGGACACTTGATACGACACGACGAACTTATGAACATTATAATAGCAGGTAAGATAGAAGGAAGGAGGGGAAGAGGGAGATCGAGGCATAGTTACATCAGGCAGATCAAAAAAGGAGTTGGTGTCGTGTCGTATCAAGAGGTGAAGAGACTCGCTGAAAATCGTAGTGAGTGGCAAGAGCTTCACCGACAAGAGCACAGCTCTTAAATATGATAGATAGACACCTAGACATACCTCATGGAAGCATGATGGTGTCGATGCTTTTTTTTTGGCGGTCGAGTGCACACATAGCAGCAGACACGCCAGTACAGAAATCTGGAACCGTGTAAATACTTCATTGATTATAAACATACAGGTTTATGTAATGTAGAATTTTATAAACAAATATATTTATTTACATTTTTATTATTATTATTTTTACTATTACAATTGTTCCTATTGTACGCCAATTTGAACCCACACTATTAAATTTCCCAGATAATCAGCTTACGTTGATAACGTTATCCGTTTAAATTACATATAATAAATAATATAGAAACTTCTCATTAAAATTAATTTAATTTATTATTTTTACAAATGTTGCAATAAAGTGTAAATAAATAAATAAATGAGAACATGTCTGTTTTAATAAAATCAAAATACGCCTTATTTTAAGTTATTAGCAATATTGTATGTAGATATATGCCTTATAAAGTAGGCGTTTAGAGTTATTTATAGACACGCTCGTATTTTTATTTTTAAAAAATTTAAATAATAATAATAATATTTATTTAATTAGACTACATAAGGCCCATTTTGTTAGTTACAAATTGACTTAACCTATGTTAGTAAATGAGCGGTCATAACGCTCTTACATTGATAACCTGTCCCAACCAAAATTTTAAGATGGGACAGTCCATTTTATCAGCAATTGTCTTCGGGACACTACTAAACTACTACTAAATTACTATTAATACATAAATAAAACATACAATAAAATAACAAAACCAAAAAATTTACTTTTAATTTTATGTTCTTTTTTTTTGTTTTTTTTTTATACAACTTAGAATGGCAAACAAGCTGACGGCCCACCTGATGGAAAGTGGTAACCGTCGCCTATAGACATGAGCAGTACCATGGACATAACAGAGTATACTGTTTCACCCATGATACCCACCATGCGTTGCCATTCCTGAGGACTCAGGTGTTATTCCTCTGTACCCAGTAAATTCACGCCATATCCCACCCTTCAAACCGAAACACAGCCATGCAAACACAACTGCTTCACGGTTGTAACACGAGTGGGACAGAGGTACCCAAGCAATCGACTTTTGTACAAAGTCTCCCTCTGGTAAATGAAACTTCCTTGTAAATGAAACTGATACGCAATTAGAATGGAGACACGTGGAGGAATTGTTAGTAATGCAGGCTACTACTCCCATTGCTAGCAATATACCCTATCAAGTTGACATCCACGTGGTCTCCCCTGGAAACCATCATGCTGTATCCCAGGTGCATCACGATGGGCTAACTGACCTGCCTTTTCATTCTCACCTATCAGCATTCACTGGTGCCCCGCCAGCGTATACTGTTAACGCAGGCGGTGTTACCACTCCATTATCATCCATTAAAAAAGTACATGAGCGAGTTTCATTCCCCATGCGTCATATGGGTCGTATAAGTAAGGAACGTAATGTTACGTAGTGTACCTGAAAGAGGAAGCCATAACATCGCCGATATTGGCCAAGCAGAGCAGCATCAGCGGGATGCCCAGAATAGCGTAGAAGATGGTCACCACCTTGCCAGTTTGCGTCTTGGGAGCAATGTGCCCGTAACCTGAAAATGGGTAAATAAATATCTTGGTATAAACATAGACCTATCAAATAGATGTATTCATTTTTTTTATATATATTTAGTTCTGTTCTTTATGGCATTCTATAAGGAAGGCTTATGTCCAACAGTGGGACGGATAATGGCTGAAATGATGACGTTGATGACGTACTTAGTCCTGACAATATAATTTAATTACACATACAATAAGAAAGGTAAATGTCACAAGGCGTTTATAACACAAACATAGCCACGGGTAACTGGGAATCCGTGGGGGAGAAGGGATTGTTAGCAATGGGGATTACCAATCCCATTGCTAGCAATAAACTCTATCAGGTCGACCTCCTCGCGGTTTCCCCTGGAAACCATCTTGATTGGTTTATTGTTGAATTCGTCACGGTGGTCTAACTGACCTGCTTCATCCTCACCTATCATCCTTCACTGGTGCCCCGCCGGTGTATACCGATAGCTTAGGCAAGGCTACCATTCCATTATCATCCATTAAAAAAAAAAACTGGGAATCCGTACGTTTTAATTTTGGACGCTGGGGGGGGGGGGAATAATATATGACAATATCTATATAATTTAGTTGTAATTATTAGTTTCAGTTATAGAAAAGAAATAATAAGCAAATACAATTATTTATAATTAGGTAATTTCAAATTGTCAATTTTTTATGATTCTACCGCTGGGTTCGGAATGTTGTTATCTGCTGAGAAGAATCCTCAATAAACTCAACAATTACTCATTTCAAATTATTATATGACCTTCGCATGGAAAAATCAATTGATTGTATAACGTTAACAGGTGTTGCAAAAAACAAATACACTCGAGTAGTGAAAGGTAATAACTTGTTGCGTCAATAATTTAAAACCGATCTGATTATAATATGTAATTTTGAAAACGTTTGTATAAGCATCGATGGTTCAGTGGTAGAATGCTCGCCTGCCACGCGGGCGGCCCGGGTTCGATTCCCGGTCGATGCAGTTTTTTTGTACTCGCTATAGTATAAATTTCTTTCTATAGCTATTTATTAAAGTTGGTATTTATTTATGAAGGTAGTTTGGTTTTTCTTTTTTGAAAAAAAAATCAAATATCCTTAATTCAGAATATTGTAATTCCTGTACCTCTCATCCAAAACTATTTAGTCATTTAAGCGTGGCTTGATAACAAACATTCAAACACTAACGGCTGATCGATTTTTTAATCCGTTTATCGTTTTTAACTAAAATTTGGCACACGAGTAGTTTATATTCCCGTGATTCTAAATTAACACAGTATATCGATATTCTATACTGATTCACGCGGGCAAAGCCGCGGAAAACAGCTAGTCACCTATAAATACATATATAAACTATAATAATATATAATGTATATAACTATATAATACTAATAACAATTACGATATGAATAGATACACACCAATACTTAAATAATGAATAATAATAATAAGAAAGTACGTACTTATCGTGATACACTATTTCGAAAGTGAAAAAAGTGTTGTCCTCCTCTCTCGTACTTGCTGTGCCCAACAGGCTCAATAATTGAAACGTTATGTACTAATTATATTAAGGAATGCAATAAGAAATAAATAAATATATTAAACTAATATATTTAATATGTCTCCTTGATTCAAATACAGATTGTAATGTCATATTGAAGGTCACGTCCGAGCGGCTCCGTCCATACGATTACCTTTAATTATTCTTATTTGTCTCTATTACCGGACAAATCCTTCGAGAAGTCGAGCTTTTTATGTGATCAACAAAAAAATATATATTTATTACAGCTTATTTTGTTTTATTACTCGAAATGTAATTATAATTTACCATTTACGTACGCAATTTATAATGTGGGTCAAGCGTGCGATGCGCTGAGTGGGCTTGGTTCCCTCCGTCTAGCACGAAAAATTGTTTGCATGTATACAGCTTATTTCAATGGAACTTGATAAAAATGTAAACAAACGTATTGATTATACCCCACTGTCGGCGAAAGGACTGTATGCTGGTATGGAAACACGGTGTTTTAGAAAGATAATATCTTGTATATAAAATTCTCGTGTCACGGTGTTTGTTACCAAACTCCTCCGAAACGGCTTTACCGATTTTTATGAAATTTTGTGTGCATATTGGGTAGGTCTGAGAATCGGCCAACATCTATTTTTCATACCCCTCAATGGTAAGGGTGACCCACCTCCAAATATTTTTTTTTATTTTTTTGACAAATTTTTCCATTTTTATTTTATTATGATTTAGCATACAACCCCAAATTTTCACCGTTTTACGATCAACTCCTATTTTTTAATTGCGATTTTTATATTCCGCAATATGGTTGCAAGATGGCAATCCTATATAATAATTGTAGTACGATATATTTTCATGTATAGTTCTAGAAATAATGTATATGGTAAAACAACGTTTGCCGAGTCTGCTAGTATGTATATAAAAACTAAACTGACACAGACTTCAAATTACAAACAAAACATCGTTTTAATAAAATAATTGCTTGGGTACCTCTGTCCCATTCATGTTTCAACCGTGAAGCAGTTGTGTTTGCATGGCTGTGTTTCGGTTCGAAGGATGGGATATGGCGTGAATTTACTGGGTACAGAGGAATAACACCTGAGTCCTCAGGAATAGCAACGCATGGGGGGTATCATGGGCGAAACAGTATACTATGTTATGTCCATGGTACTGCTCATATCTATGGGCGACGGTTACCACTTTCCATCAGGTGGGCCGTCAGCTTGTTTGCCATTCTAAGTTGTATAAAAAAACACGGAACAGAAATTACGTAAATATATATATATATATATATATATATATATATATATATATATATATATATATATATATATATATATATATATATATATATATATATATATAATGTCTCCCATACTATCTCAACAGCTGATCGCGCCGTGTTAGTTTGGGAGATTCAAAACTTTTTACCCTTTTCCGACCCATGTTTCTTTAATGAATATGTTTAGTTTCACCAGTGAAACGCTGCCGTCAAAGTTTTAACTCGTATGACGCTCATGGCACTACCCCTGATACGAAGCTATTCCTGAGGACTACGGTGTTATCACCTGATGAGAAGTGGTAACCTTTGTCTATGGACATAAACAAGCACCTTTTTCTATGCCTTTAATCAATACATTACATTCATACTTTAATACATTGTCATTCCTTAGAACTAAGATGTTATGCTTCTGTAATTAATACGTTGAAAGTTCACCGACCTATACCACCTTTCGAACTAAAACAGCCATGCAAACATAGCTGTTTAGCAGCAGCGCCACAGGTGGGACAGAGGTGCCCATGCAAACGATTTTTACAAAGAAGAATTCATTTTTTATTTATTTTTTTATATTCTGTTACAATTTAGCGTCTTTTTTTTAAATTTCTTTGCCACGTAACTTATTACATTACACAATATCTAATAATAAAGTAGAAGTCCAAGTACGTGGAAGTTAATTTTACTAATGATAATGATAAATGATTTTTGTACAAAGTCGCCATCCAATAATGAAAATTTGTGAATTATTTATCAAGTTAGTTTAAGTTTTATTACCAAACAATCGGACCTCCAAAACTTAGGAGTAATGTACCACATCCGCCTCACGTCATCGCATCTCGCTCACGCCATCTTTGTTCAACTTAAAATTAATTGGCTAATGGCGTGCTAAGCTATGTAATTATAGGTTCGACTCCTATAAAGCACAATTTTATATTTAAGAACTCTGTCCCATTCGTGTTTCTACCGTGAAGCAGTTGTTTGCATGGCTGTGTTTCAGTTTGAAGGGTGGGATATGGCGTGAATTTACTGGGTACAGAGGAATAACACCTGAGTCCTCAGGAATGGCAACGCATGGAAGGTATCATGGGCGAAACAGTATACTCAGTTATGTCCATGGTACTGCTCATGTCTATAGGCGACGGTTACCACTTTCCATCGGGTGGGCCGTCAGCTTGTTTGCCATTCTACGTTACGAAAAAAAAATCTGAGTTTGTACCTATTGCCAGGCATACGGATACTACACAATGTATTTATATATATATGTATATATGTATATATATATATATATATATATATATATATATATATATATATATATATATATATATATATATATATATATATATATATATATATATGTAAAATTATAATTTCTGTATGTTTGTGAAGAGTGGCAATAAATTTATTATTATTTATTTATTTAAGAAACACGTCTCACATAGTGATAAACTACACCTTCCCCTTTAAAGAATTTTTCAAAAATCCACTAAAAAATCCTTCCAAAAATACTAGTCAGGAACCCGCTTGTTTGATAGTTTAATATGACTCAAGTAGCTACCACCGGAGAACATATTTCTGCCAAGAAACAGTAGCGTTTGTATTATTTTAGATTTAAAATCTCTGTTATGCTTCCAGAGGTAGTACTAAAAGTATTGCCTCTCATGGGCATGAGATGTACCATGAACGGCACAGTATATTCTACATATTGTATGACGTCTATCGTACCGCTCATGTCTACACGTGGCTGCCAACAAACAGACGGCCAATCTAAATAGTTATTTTTACATCGTTTATTTATTTACTATATTTCCTACACGTATCCCAAAATATACAGCGCTGAAAGTATATGCAGAATAAATTCACACGATTTTTTTAAGAAATGGCCTCTCTTTTTTTATACAACTTAGAATGGCAAACAAGCTGACGGCCCACCTGATGGAAATTGGTAACCGTCGCCTGTAGACATGAGCAGTACCATGGACATAACAGAGTATACTGTTTTGCCCATGATACCCCCCATGCGTTACCATTACTGAGAACTCAGGTGTTATTCCTCTGTACCTAGTAAGAGGTACCTCTCTTAAGCTCACCTCTGACTACATCTTTTTTATCTGATAATTATTCATTTATTTAACTCTGTGTTATTTCTTACACATTAAATTGTACTGCATTTAAAAAAAAAACATCTTTAATTGTGACAAAACCAGTTACCTCAAATACTGAACCGATTTTGATTAAATTTCTATGAATTCAATCTGTAAGTATATCCATTTCAGATAAAAAAAGAATTTTCCAAAACGGTTTAAAACTGACAGAGTTATAAGGTGATAACTGCTTCTTTTAAAGTCGGTTAAAAAGACACAATAATAGGTAAATAGAAATAATCAAATCGAATCATAATAAATTAAAAGGTAATATTATTAATAATATTGCCTTTTAATTAAAATTAATATATTGTCCTAGCTTATATTATAAATGTGAAAGCGAGTTGGTTTGTTTGTTACCTTAACGGCTTAAGCAATCACTATTAATTGCTATACACGCACTATATGGGATGGGAAGGATATAGATACATGTATTATATCTCCATATTTAGTCATAATAGAATTTCATCGTGCTTCCAATCAAACTGTTTATAATTACTCCTCTCCATCCAAAGGTTGCCTGGAAGAGATCGCTCTTAGCGATAAGGTCGCCCATTGTTTTCTCATTGTGATTATTTCTTGTAATTGTCTAATATTTATAATAAGTTTACTATTGTAATCTTTTGGAGGAAACAATAAAGAGTATCTATCTATCTATCTATATCACGGATGATTTCGTAGGTTGTCTATAAGAGATTGCCGTAGCGATAAGACCGCCTTTTGTACCTTTATGTATACATTTTAATCTGTACTTTTATGTTCCTGTATTTCACTTAAATTGTTCAATTGGCTTTGTATATTTTTATGTTTCTGGTACAATAAAGAGTTAAATAAATAAGAGCTAGTTTCTATATATCACTAGATTAGATATATATGCCTTTTCGGATTGACAAAAAAAATGACATATTTAAAAAAATGGATGGTAGTTAGGTAGCTTTGTTTTATTGCGTATTAATTATTATACTCGATGAAGTACAACTATTTATTATCTTTAATCAACCTTCCTTAATCACTGTTATAAATAGACCAAGTTATTTTTTTTTTTACAAAATCGAAGCGATTTCCGTCATATTATTTGAAACGGATACCGGCGAGGCCAACTTCTTGCGGGCACCACTAACGTTTACCAAAATATACCTTCCATTAGTTGAAATTTGGAATTACCTGCAGGGGCCTTCAGGCCAATAATTGGGTCATATTTCGGAATAATTGGCTCAAACAATGGCTTCGGATGCTGAATGCACCGGCGGTGACCTCAGTGTGCACGCCTGCGCTGTAACCATTTGTAATCTACCTATTTGAATCATTGATAATGATCTCAAGATAATTATTTTGACTCCAATATAACTCATCATTGTAATTTATTATTTATTTAAAACATAGTTAATGTTTATTCACCTCGTTTCTATTTTAAACTGTAGGAAATTCATCGTAAAAAATATATTTTACTTCGCTTCGTTTAAAAAACAGTCATCTCATTCATTCATTGTGTTTACCATTGTTGTTGTAGTCTATATAATGTAATTATTTGCAATCATTCAATACTTAATATGACATAGTATGTACATAAAATGTAAAAAAAATATGGCATAAAATAGGCCACCCCTTCCTTTCCTGTAGGTGTCATAAGAGGCGACTAAGGGAGGGCGAGGGATAGGCAGCAGCGTCCCTCTTAAAACATCTCCAAATCATAACTGCAGTTGTCAATCCGCCTGCCAAGCGTGATAACTACTGGCAAAACCATCCCAGGGAGAGGCTAGAATATTTAAATTTATAATTAAGAATCATGCACCTAGTATCAATTTTGCTTCACAACTAGCAAACTTATCGCAAAAAAACCGCACCTTCTATAGTCATAAATTTAATAGGAGACTAATACAGGAAAATCGGAGGGAAAGATATTGTTAGTAATGGAGATTGAGAATCCCATTGCTAGCAATATACCCAACCAGGTCGACCTCCACGTGGTTCCCTCTGGAAACTATCATGGTTAATTCCTAATGAATTCATCATGTTGGGCTAACTGGCCTGTTTTCGTTCTCACCGATCACCCTTCACTGGTGCTCCGCCAGCGTATCCCATTAGCGCATGTTACCGTTACCATTCCATTTTCACCCATCAAAAAAAAATACAGGAATGTACCCTGTCGATTACTAAGAGGATTATCAATATCCGTTCAGAACTAACGACGTACTCGCATAACATTGTCAAAGGAATACAGACAAACTGAGAGTCTCTTTCCTCTTTAGGAAGTCGCTTAAAAAGGTATGCGACGTCAAAACGGTGGACCTTGGTACTTTCCCACGCGAGAGACAACTGGGTGAATACGTAGATCACTGACCTTGAACTTAACGGGCCAAGGACAATATTCATACGTAACTGAGTCTTGATCACGTTGCGATTTAAAATGAAATTCCCACAATTTAAAAAAAAATACCTTTTATCATTCAAATATCAATGCCGGTACCAATTGATAAGATAATTACCATATTCATAAAAATTAAAACCAACTTTTATAGTGTTTTCTCAATATCTTTCAAATTGGGAATTTCGCCCAGAAGAAAGAGATAAAACAGTTCAAAAACTAAAATAGGTTGTTTTTTTTTAAAATAAGGCAATAAGACGCAATACAAAAGCTAAGAAGAGAAACTTCGTGAAGGAAAATTTTTAAAAATAAATAATGTGCAGCTGAACACGCCGTGTTAGTATGAAGGCTCATCATATTGTGCAATTATTCGATATAAACGTTCAGTTCTCTGATATAACACTCTCCCTTCAAATTATGCTAATGATTTCGATTTCATCCTGTACTCGTATTCAATATGAAGGGACAGGACGCCGCGCGTTTTGTACCAAAATGCAGCGCCGGCGCAGCTGAAATCGCTTAGCGAGCCTGCACAAAGCTCAGTTACATAACAGAGGGCGACGCGAACGGACCACTCCACTCGCATCCCTCCGATTTAAAAATTATATTTTGAGTACTTATTTTTTTTGTTTGTTTCGTGATAAATGTAAATAAGAAGCGAGTTGTGAATCGATTGAAAAATGAATTTCGGTTAGTATTAGATTTTATTTTATGACTTTTAATATTTATTTGCCACCATACCAAAAAATAATTTTATAATAATTATTTTTTTATTTGAGTTTAAAATGTATATAAATTTTTTCAACAATTTAATCAACCAATTCCAAAATAATATTATTTCCAATTATAATCAGCGATAATGTAAAATATTTAATGGTAAACATTAATTTCAAATTACAAAGTTGATAATTTATATTTCTTACGAATAAATATATCATTAATGATATAAATGTATAATTTGTGTCTAACTAATTTGTTATAATATTTTTAAAGGATATATGTATATTGTTTTGGACATTATAATATATGGCATTGTATATTCGCAAGTGTCCGCAAAAGGCGGGTTGCCTCAGAGAATCCTTGGTTTGCGCATGTTTGTGTATCTTGCGCAACCCTTTGACGCCGCCCGCCCACGCCCTATACTGCGTACCGTGCGCGTTACACATATTTATCATCATTTCCATTGCCGGTTATGTTCGACATGTATTTCACTAATCTACGTTAATTCTTCAATGTATGTTTCGTTGTAAATTTATCACGTCACGTGGAAAACAGTTGTAATGCATTTTAGCGTAGCTTCGTTTTGACTGCGCCCATTTCGTAAACTGCTTTTACTAAGTACTATTCTAAACTGTTGCCCAATTAACAAACGAATCGTTCTGAACGTAATATCGTTGTAACTACGACAGGAATTTCAATTTGGAAAGAAATAATTACATACAATACTGTTAACTATTACTAAACGGGAGAGGGGGGGGGGGGTGAGATTGTTAGTAATGCGGACTACCAGTCCCAATGCTAGCAATATACTCTGTCAGGTCGACCTCCACGTGGTCTCCCCTGGAAACCAACGAACTGAATTCCAGATGTATTCATCACGATGGGCTAACTGATATGCATTTTTATTCTCACCTATTATCCTTCACTAGTGCCCCGCCAACGTATACCGTTAGCACAGGCGGGGTACCATTCCATTACCATCCATTAAAAAAATATATCTCGATCACGCGAGCGATGTCGCGGGTAAAAGCTAGTTATACAGTAAACATAAAAACGATTAACATACGTTATTATTATAACTAACTATATATAATTGGTAAAGATATCTTGACAGCACCTGTCAAATAAGTGCATTCATTTGGAAGGCGCAATGTTTAGAATCTACGACCGCCGTGAGTCATTGAAGGAATCATGTCACTTGTCTAAACATAATCAGTTGTCACACCTCCCCACACAATGACGTGACGTCATCGCCCTGATCACTCTATACACGTCTAGGCTAACTATAGTAACAATAAACAACACTGGATATAATTGCCCAAGTGGTAATTGTTTGTTATTTAGCCATGGATGGACTGTGTAAAAGATGATATGGCCAGAATGAGAGTGAATGCGATTAGAGAAGAATGGAAAAGAGAAACATATTACGCTGAAACCAAATGAAAAATCAGCTCTTAGGAATCGTTATCATCATATTAGCTGTTATCTGTCCATTGCTGAACATAGGTCTCTCTAATAGACCGCCATAAGGAACGGTCAATCCCATTAAATCGAAATTCCAAAGTCTCCGACTCAATTTCGTGTTTTCGTTCATACCTAAATCGGCCCCGTAAATGGAGCTTAACATTTCGTTCGTCATAAATCCTACTCCATAAAAGTCCAATTTTTAATGTTTTTAAACGGTAAATATTATGTAATTTTAACATCAAATTTGTGTTTCGTTCGGCTCCGAAATTTTGGAAAACATTTCATGGTAGGCCCTCTGCTTCCACTGACTCCCTGCAATATATTTGAGGTCTTCGCTCCATCTAGTGGGGAGGTTGTTCTACACTGTGTTTACTTGTACGAAGTCGCCACTCAAGATAATATTACCCTACTATTACGACAATGGTAAGGTGGCTTATTGTTAATTTTCATAGACCTATTTCTAGAGCGGGCCGGGTTCAGTTCAGGATTCAGTTTGGTGGCTACCTCAGGATAAAGGGCGGAGCTTTGGACTATTGGCAAAGATATATCTGAGAATAAATATATACCTTTTTTTAGGGACTAGGTTTTTCTGGAAAATAATGTTAAATACACCAATCACCATCTTGCATTAATGAATGCGTCTCAAATCCGGACAGTTTCAGAAAGAAGTGTTTCCTAAAATGTCTCTACTAATAATCAAATTCAGGAACTCATTGACACGAAGTCAAATTGAGCCTTGTAAAATTATTTTCAAATAAGGAATATCAGTACCACAAATTATTATGCACTTCTGAAATAAATACTTACGTTAAGGACTAGATTTAAGACAGAAACACGAATAGGACAACGGTACATGCAGAAAACTTATGTATATTGACGCTAGTGTTAAATATAACGCAGAAAATCAATGTCTACAAATGGCTCAGGATGTCTTTAGAACAGTTTACAGAAAAGGAATAACTTCAGCAATATATGATTTATTTATTTATTTATAAATTACTCACCACACTTACAGTCTCCCAAAACGTGTAGTGAGCCATAGGTTCATTTTACAAACTTACAAATTTTATACAACATTTTAAAAATATATCTATTTTGTCATTAAATATATCAATATTTGACTGCTGAGTAATCAGAGAATTGAGCAGAGAAATAGCCTGATAAGTGTGAGCAAACTGAGCAGTACAGGTGCGAACCGGCGGTGCCGATAGTAGTCGACGTGCACGCAAGCGCATGCAGCGTTGGGGTGCGTACAAAGAACAACGGCTGAGAGTTGCAGGATTGTCTATTCCGTCGTTGAGCAACCGATGAATGGTTAGTACCATTCATATACAGTATCGGAGAGGACTGTCTTCACCAGTGTACACACGATGAATGGCATAATGTGATGGTGACGATAATGAATATTGTTGCAGACGGTACGTGGTGGCTGGTGCTGGTGTGCGTGTGTGCATGCTCAGCTGAAAAGTGGCGGTTCCCGGAGAGTGCCGCGTCGGTCCGCATCGACACCAAAGTCCGCTTCGTGGACGGAGACGACCGACCCAACGATAATGAAAAGTTTGTATCTATTTACTAGTATAATAATGACCATGTAGGCATAGAATAGGCCACTCCTTCCTTTCCCGTGGGTGTCGTAAGAGGCGACTAAGGGAGGGCGAGAGATGGGCAGCAGCGTCCCTCTTAAAACATCTCCAAAGCTTAACTGCGGTTGCCAATCCATCTGCCAAACGTGACAACTACTGGCAAAATCCTCAAGGGGAGGCTTATGGTCAGCAGTGGACAGTTGAAAGCTGATATAATATTGAGGTATTAATAATAATATTATATAAGGGAGCTTATGGTGTAGGTATGCAACGTAAACATGATAATACGGAAAGCATTATAGGTGAAAATCTTAGATTATATAGACAGAGCCTCGAGCCTCAAAAACGGGTCTACTTTTTGTCATACGTTATTTATCTGTGTTCTATATACTTAACGTATTTGTATTTAATTATTTAATAAATAAAGTAAGTTTTTGCGCAATAAAAAGATGCAAAAATTATAAGACAAAATAAATATAGAAGTTATAAAGGAATCACTCATAACTATGTATTTTTTTTTAATGGATTATAATGCAATGGTTACCCTACCCGCGCTATCGGTATACACCGGCGGGGCACCAGTGGAGGATGATAGATGAGAATAAAGTAGGTCAGTTAGCCCATCGTGACGAATTCAACAAGAATTGTTCACGATGGTTTTCAAGGGGAACCACGTAGAGGTCGACCTAATAAGGTATATTGCTAGCAATGGGGCTGTCAAACTCCATTGCTAACAATCCTTTTCCCCTCCATAACTATGTATTTATCACGCAAAATTGTATGGAAATATTGACCCCGAACTCTCGAAGCATTTGTATGGAAATACTCTATCTATATAATCTAAGGTCAAAATATACACATAAATGTTAAATTAAATTTTCATAAATTATACATGTATATTGCTTAATATCACCTTATTGTACTGACTATTATAAAACAGTATTCTATCACCGATAGTAGAGGCCGGATATCATTATATGGAAGTGCATACGTAAATATACCGCAGCGTTGCCTGCGAGGGTCAAACGGCGAGGTGTGTAGTGAGGAACAATGATATCAAGTAACATTGAGATCCGTCTTAAGAACAATACTGAATCTTCGCCGATCGTTTTGTTGCTACCGGCCAGTGTTGTGGGAATTGCCTTCAAGGGTATATCTGGGTCTGGAAACTTTGGTTGGTGGCTAGCAACTACAATGCAAATAGTAGTTAACCTACGTGGTTTCTGAATGCTAATGTAACATACTTTCTGTAATTCTGTATTTTTGTGATAATAAATAAATTAAAAAAAAATTAACGCTATACCAAATAGTTTCTAATCATTGCATGTCGAAGATACTAATGATGTTTCAATTAAATACACGTCTCTCCTTGAATTACTCTGATATAATAGTTTTTTTCTGTAATAAGAATAACAAAATTAGTGTTGTTTTTAAATTGAGATCGTCGTATACGAACTTTTTGCTATATATGTATGTTTTATAGAAGTTTGAATTTGAACTATTATCAAATACAAATATTTTTAATATTTCTATATGATAATTTTGCAACTACTTCATAAAATTATTTAATTTTTTTTATACAACTTAGAATGGCAAACAAGCTGACGGTCCACCTGATGGAAAGTGGTAACCGTCGCCTATACACATGAGCAGTACCATGGACATAACAGAGTATACTGTTTCGCCCATGCGTTGCATTGCATGCATTCCTGAGGACTCAGGTGTTATTCCTCTGTACCCAGTAAATTCAATCATTTAAAAGAAAATTCTAAACGCTTCAAATACTTTTCAATATTAAATTTTTTGTTTATTATTTATTTATTCATTTATGTGTGTAAATAAAGTAAAATAAAATAGAAATAAAATATGTTTATGGCGGTCTCTCCCAGTCAACCTTAGAAAAGTGTCAGAATACTCGAATGCGGTACTACTAATCATTGATATACATACATACTAAAATTTACATGTATAAACAAATAAATACATATAAATAACAAATATATTTACACACATGTAAGATATACTATATTGTACACAAATATGAAAATATTAGTACTTATTAAATTTACCATTTCGATAATATATTTAATAAAATACTTATTGCATAATTACCTATTCAAGGTACGAGAAATTAGCGTGTCTACTAATTTTTTTAATTTTATTTTATTTGACAAAAAACACAAAGTTACCAACACAAGATACACTGGCCCCCATACTAGGCGAGCCTGTCTCGTGGGCACCCGACAACGATTAACAAATCACAATGTGTTATAATAAAAAGTACATAGTGGGCGGGTATTAATATAAAAAGGAATATAAAATTGAAATAGTGAAAAAAGCAATAAAATCAAATAATATAGATACAGAAGCAAATATAAAACACTAACAATATATACCTTTAAGAGAAGAAAAAAACTAAACGTAATAATTATCCCTAAAAAGACAATATACTTCCATTTTATATTGACGATCTATCGATACCCATATCTTAGAAATAAATACGTACGTATAATCATTAAGTAATACATATTTATTACTCACATCAGAAACAAGTTGTACCCACCCAAAAGCCGCAATTTACGACAGGAAACCTCTAAATTGCCACACAGCAATACTTGCGTTTAGGGCTTTTCCCAAGTCGATATTAATATTGAATTATCTGACGTCCGTCGGTTGGTATCGTGTAAATAATTAATAACAATTACTCAGTACATCTGTTTGATACCGCGAGACGGTTTCGGCGCCTTGGCCGACATATTCTCTTATTCCAATCACAATGGGGGCAATTATCCCACAACATTGCTCTGTACTGTTGCAGTCTCGACTGACACCAGAATACAGTTTGCGTCACTGCTTTCCGACTGCACTCGTGATTACTTGACAACCTGAGGCATTCTATTGTATTTAATCGTGTTTTAAGTTGTCTTTATTCATAGTCTTGAGGCTTTAGTATTTAGCCATTTACAATAAGGGCTTGTTAACTCTCTGACCGCGTATATTTTTTCGTTTCATTTCCGCACGTCGCTTTGACAACAATTAACAGAAACAATATTAGTCTACCAAAACAAAAATCGCAGGATAACAACGTCAATAAACATAAAAAATGCGAGCACGTCGAAATCGCGGGATGCGTAAAATTTAACTAGTAGATACTGCACGCAGAAATCGCGAGATACCTGGTAAGAGACATTTAGGTTTTAAATTATTGATCAATCTCTTAATGTCAATATATATCTTAATATAATAGAATTTTCTGGAGCACGTTTTACCTTAAGTTTCATCATCTAATGAAGTGAGACCAAAGATTACAGGATTAATATATTTGCTGGTAAAAACCTATTGCTAGGAAAAAGCTGATTGTGGTTGGCTGGTGACATAGTTATCGAGGCGTCAATTCCAGTGATGATTATTGATTATCTTTTCAGTAACTATTGCAAGAATTATCATTATTAATAAAAAAGGAATGACGGTTAGATAAATAGATACTCTTTATTGTTTCCTCCAAAAGATTACAATAGTAAACTTACTATAAATATAAACAATTACAAGAAATTATTGTAATGAGAAAACAATGGGCGACCTTATCGCTAAAAGCGATCTCTTGCAGGCAACCTTTGGATGGAGAGGAGTAATGGTTAATGTATAAATATAGATGGTCTATATTTATACACGTTTTACTTGAATTACTGCATCAGGATTAATCAACAGACGTTAAACAATAACATAGTCTAAGAAATAAACAAATTTGATGTTCTGAATAAAGACATTTATTTTGTTTCCATATTAACAAATAAATTGCAAGAATCGCGTATGCACAATGTGTATTACTAATGTGATTAATACAAGTTCCTGTAATTACTCGATCAAGACTCTGACATTTACAGTCGAACGCACATGTTTTGCTAATTGGGTTTCACTAAAATTACAAGTTCGTGTGAAAAATTTATCAGATTTCCAACAGTTTCCAACAATTTGGGTTTCGAATATAATTATGTAATATCCACTTATTTTTTCTTACTTCCAATTAGTGTTTAGACTCAGACGTACGTATACACATCTTCGATATATTTTTTTATTTTTTTTTTTTATTACACGATGATTTCACATTTGGACTTGCCTCATATGATGGAAATTCTATATCAATGAACACAACTAAATTAAAAAGAGAACTTTCGATTGTTAAGGGTTATTTATATTCTCTGCTCCTTCTATTATTGTAAGTTTAGTAAGATGACCCAGAAAAATATATTATAAACTGAATTTCTTCTAATATTTTATATTATTGTCTGTCCTGGTATGGACCGTAATAAGGGATAAATAACATGTTTTAAGAACAGTAATAAGTATAAATATGGATGGCTGTAAGGGGAGAGGAGGACCTAAAAGATATGGATGGACTGTGTGAAAGATAATATGACCAGAATAGGAGTAAGTAAGGAAATAGCGACAGCGAATAAAGAAGAATGAAAGAGAAAAACATGTTACGCCGACCACAAACAAATAATTGGGATCAGAATAGGAAGATGGTGATAATTTTATATTATTACTCTGCTATATGTAACAAATTATTTGTCATTCAATGCTTTTGTTACACACTTGTCACCCCGCTCGTAGTGAAACTAGAATTTCGTCAAGTTATTACAGGGTTACCGTACACTCGGTAACCGACGATATTGCAACAGTATTAGCAATAGTAACCGCCGCTACAGTAGGTGCAATGTTGTAAAGGCAAATATTTTCTATTCTATTTCTATATATTGACTTTTAATACAACAACAATGAAGAAAACGATTTAATAACAACTCAATGTCGACACAATATACTTTCATCATCATTGGCACACAGGTTTTGGAGATGTTTAAAACATCTCCAAGAGGGGCGCTGCTGCCCATCCCTCGAATTCTCTTAGTCGCTTTTTACGACACCCACGGGAAAGGAAGGCGTGGCCTATTCTATGCCGGGACCTACACGGCCAAATACTTTGTTATGGATAAATAAATGAATGTGTGAATATCAACAGCCTAAAATTCCAACATTAAATTAAAATGGTTTACCTATGGCACTATATGGTGTTGCTGTAAATAAAATTTTTTAAATTTACTTTTTATTAAAATATTGACAGCCTTCCTCTCATTTATATATTATAAAAAAAAAACCATTCCCTAGAATTCGTTGGCACACAAATGTTCAAACAGTAATACAGAATATATTTTCAGAAAATTGATCCTGCGACGTAACTCACTCAACAGCTTCAATAACAATGGGTTAGCAATCTATAAATAATGAATTAAAAGATCTGAATATAAATTCAAAACATTAGACATAACTAAAACTGTAATAGAGTCTACAAAAGGCGATAATGTTTACGAAATGTCTAATAAATCTATCATTGCTCCGCAGTGGCCTAGTTTACTTTCACTATCGTTTGCCACAATATCATTATTTTTTATTAACTATTGTTCCCTGTCTATAATGATGTAATAATTATATGAATGAAATTAATTTAAAGCTATTAATTCAAAAGTATATAATGAAAATTGTTGTCATAATATTATCCACTTATTTTATTAATTTCGACACAACTTACAAAAATACACGAAAAAAAAAAAACTAAATTACAACTTACTCATTATAATATATTTTTTTTTTATGTTAATTTAAAATGATTTTAAATGGCAATAGCTCTAGATAGTTACGACATGTCGGATCCGATCTAGTCAAAAATAAATTTTCACATATATTTCACATATATCACGTATTTTAAACTAAATATCGTTCAACATACTGTAGGAAATTTTAAAAAATTAACCCACTTTATTATATTTTCAAAGGCATCTATTTTATAAAAAATATACTCTACTTAGGTGTATAAAAAAATATACGCTAATAAGTCCCTCCTCCAGTGTAGACCCGGCATACAATAGGCCATCCCTTCCTTTCCCGTGGATGTCGTAAGAGGCGACTAAGGGAGGGCGAGGGATAGAGAGCAGCATCCCTTTTATAACATCTATAAAGTCTAAATATGGTTGCCAATCCGCCTGCCAAGCATGGCAACTACTGGCAAATCCTCTCAAGGGGAGACTTATGTTCACCAGTGGATAATTAAGGCTGGTATTATATGATGAATATATGATATGATGTTCCGCCAACTTAATTATTTTTTCGTTCGCACAGTCATTATTGCAACATAATTTGTTTCTATATATAGGATCAAAGCCAGCGAAAACCAAGTGCAAGCAGATGAGGTGCCATTCGAGCCGGCCTCGGACACGGCCGGTTTCTACAACCGACCAGCAAGCGGCGACGTCTCGGGCCGATTCCCAGTGCGGGTGGAGGGACAGCGGGCGCCCTACAGGGTCGAAGGGCAGGCCATCTACTCTATCAGCAAGACGTAAGTAATCCAAACATTCTATATGGGATCGTTAATAAAGATTTCTTGTGACATTATTGCTTATATACATATATCCCGTCAGGCCGACCTCCACGCAATCCCCCCTTAGAAGTCATGTAAATTTTTGGTAAGTTCCAAAAAACTACATGATGTCCATGATGATGAACTATAATGAAATAGAATGAAATAAATATTTATTTGCCAAAACACTTGCATGAATGATTAATTCTGTGAATTACAAACTTGGCATGCGAGCCGTGTAATTAAAAAATGCGATTTAGCCATGGTAGTACGTTTTCTCGACACATCCTAAAGAATACTTAGTAAATATATGCTATTCATTGCTAGTATTATACCCTGTCAGGTGAACCCCCCGTGGTTCCCCCTGAAAACCATCGTGCTGAATTCCAGGTGTATTCATCATGATGGGCTAACTGACCTGCCTTTTCATGCTCATCTTTTATTTCTTACCGGTGCCCCGACAGCGTATACCGTTAGTACGGGCGGGAATACTAATACAATAGGGGGTAAAGGGATTGTTAGTAATGGAGACTGAGAATCCCATTGCTAGCAATATACCCAGCCAGGTCGACCTCCTCACGGTACCCCCTGGAAACTATCATGGTTCATTCCTGATGAATTCACCATGATGGGTAACTAGCCTGTTTTCATTCTCATCGATCACCCTTCACTGGTGCTCCGCCAGCGTATACCGTTAGAGCAGGCGGGGTCACCATACCATTTTCACCCATCAAAAAAAAAATACAATACAATAATATATGTATTTAATACTAATATATATATGCTACTAGCCATGAGACAGCGCTGACGAAGTCGCCATTCCATTTTATAACCATAAGAAAATTGTTCTTACAAACTATTACATCTTTAAATGCTTAGAACAAGTTCCTGCGCGCATCTGTTTGTTTTTTCCGCTTACTTTTACACTACACTTTTGTATGCATAATTTGAGCCAGTGCGACGTGTTCCTATAATAGTTTACAACACTAATAGTATTATTATCTATAGCTGCATAAACGTGTCGTTTCCAGTCCCGAGCGCTACTACTCGGACGGAACATTGGACTCGATGCAACACTGCAAGTGTGTCTCCACGCCTGACTGCCGCCCGTCCAGCGACTCTCTGGTAAGATATTCACAGTCCGACATTATAATGTATTCTGTTATGTCAATGCCATTTATGTGGTAAGTAGATACCTCATTGTGTACTATGTTACCTACACTTTAACTCTTCATATAAAATTATTAGACAATTCACTAGGTACATCTCTCACGTGACCAGGATATTTATTGATCAGTGTAATTGGGATTACCACTAAACTTAACCTTTATTAAAAATAAATAAAAATCAATTATAATCAACTTGATGCAAAAATAAACATTAAAATCGGTGCAGAATTGTCAGAAGATATATTTACACAAAAATTTATATGTACCATATAACTTTCGAAAGTCGTTCAAAATGTAGCTTCGGTCCTTCTTTGAAACAAGGAAACTCCTTATAGTATTAATAATTTTACAATTAAAAGCAAGAATAAGTAAGAATGATCTTTTATTTGCAGAAAGCATGTGGCGTTGGAAAATATCTGTGCTGTTACAAACGACCAAACAAGAGCTATCATCAAAATTCAGGTATCGTATATTTCATACCAGCAGTTAAATTTCCACTGCCTTCTTCATAAGAGAGTTTAGCCAATAGTTGCCACGCTTGATAGGCGGGTTATCAACCGCAGTTAGGATTTGGGGATGTTTTAAGAGGGACGCTGCTATCCATTTTTTATCCCAAAATTCAGGTATATAACCATAAAATTTTATATGTTTCTGGCAATATTTTTATACTAATTGAAATGCTAAACGTAGTAACCTACCTGATAGAAACTAATAATAGTATAGCTGATAGAGATGATCACCGCCATTATATTAGAGATACCATATTACCTTTCATGCATTGCCATTCTTAAAGACTAAGGTGTTATGCCTCGTTAAAACAACATCTTATGATATTTAATTGATACTAAGATTTCTTTTATATTGTGTGGCCAATAAGTTTAAAGAAATGTTAAGAATGAATGTGGATAAGGATAAAGGAAGAACTTATATCTTATAAACTCGGTGAGAGATGATAATGCTCAGAAAGGAAATGAATGCAAGTAAAGATGAATGGAAGAGAAAAGAAAGATATTGGCATCAAACAATTAGGATAAGGGCAGGAAGATGACAATGATTAGCCAATATGTAATCTTTCTAAAACCTTCTGATAAGCATCTTTGACATCTTATTCTAGAATTCTTCAATGAAGTGGAAGACGAACGTCCAGTTTTGCTACCGGGTCAAGAAAATATAAACGGTCCATTCCCGCCACCCCCGGGCTCATACTTCAATGGAGTATTCGGCGCGCAGCAAGAACCCGATTCCTCAGTGATAGGCAACATCGACAGGCCACGGCCGCAACAAGCTGTACTCGTTGGCCCTGATGGTCCCACCGGCAACATTGGCCCACCGAACAGACACGTCGGAGCAACTGGCAATCCATCCTTGCAGCACAATTCCCAAGTCCCACCCGTTCTTGTCGGCCCCGACGGTCCAACTGGTATAATAGGCCCAGCACCAATTAATCCTAACCAAAAACCAGGCGGAAATCGAGACGTTGGCCAAAGTGAGACTGCACAACGAGGTATCTTAGTTGGACCAGGTGGTCCTACTGGGATCATTGGCCCCGCCGGTTTCAACCGTCCAGGTGGATTTATGAATTACTACTTCGGAGGCGGTCGAAGTACTGGGCCGGGCATTTTGGTCGGACCGGGTGGACCTACTGGCATTATTGGGCCTGGGAGAGGAATTCTCGTGGGGCCAGGTGGGCCCACTGGCCAAATAGGGCCGAGAAGACCGTTCAATTATGGTAAATAGCATGTATGTGTGTGTGTTCATTCCATCATTACGAGACTAATGATGCTAATTTGTGAGTAGCGATAGATTCCGTAGGCGCTTTTGTTTACGATAACCTGAAGCATAATAATATGGCGAGTGAACGTCGCATATACTCATAGTGAGTGTTTGATGTAAATATTTTGGTATCTTGTTGTATAACTAATGTTTAAACTGACTAACTGCTACTAAACATGTTACCTGCGAGTTACCATTACCTTTAATATTCATATAAGATTATGATAATAAAATATACTGCATAATAGTGTGTGTCAACCATTCACAGGATGTCCGCGACAACAAAGAAACAAATTGACATCCACTACTTCGTCTAGTTCAGATAGCTATAGAAATAGAAAGAATAAAAAATATGTCGTGTAAATAATAATAAAAACACTAATTGAAGTATTAAGTGGTTTTCATATTTTCTAATCCTAGTAGATTTTATATGTACATCATTCTTAGATTTATCAAAGTTTATAGTAGTTGTGGGCGACAACGGAAACCAGGAATGGAAATTGGAAATATATGTATAATGGTCAAAGGAACTTAGAAGACTAGGGCCGTGAAGGCAAGCCAAAAGGAAACAATAGATATGCGTGTCAATTTCGAATTTGGTAAATAATAATATATAGCCGTTTCGGTTCGTATCTGGCTCAAAGGATATCTCTGGCAATACAACGCGGAAATGCCGCAAGTGTCTTGGGGACCTTTGGGTCCGGTACGGATCATAAATAACTGATCATTAATAAAATTTTATTTTTGTGATTGAAACATTATTGCATGTATAAAATAAATATAATTTATTATCATATATAGCTATAAATAATATACCGTCATAGTCGTAGAATACTGACGGATCTGACAAAGATTACATATAAAGATCCGTCAGTATTCTACCACTATGACGATATGTGGCCTGTACTCCACAGTAGTAATTTCAGTTAGTACAGATATGTAATGAACTGTATATTGATGAATTTAATGTAATTATGGATTTATAGAAAAAATACTATAATAAAAAAAAAACTACGGAAGACAGACTACAAAAGCGACATAGAGCAATGTGACAATTGTAAAAAGTATAAACATATTTGGAGGTTGAATGCATCCTCTTGAAAGGAATTAGTAATAAGATTTTAAGTTTGTATAACTATTAATTTTAAACTTAAAAAAAAACCTAAATTTATATTGTTTTTATAATTCTATTTATTTTAATCAAAATTTAAAGACCTTTGTTTCATATATGATAACTATGATATGTTGTATGAACCATTAACTGTCCACTGCTGAACATAGTCTACCCCATAAGAGGGGTTTTGCCAAGCTTGGCAGGTGGGTTTTGCACATCAACCGCAGTTTGACGTTTGGTAAAGTTTAAAGAAGAGTACTGCAGCCTATCCTCCCACCACAAGCTCCCTTTGTCGCCTCTTACGACACCCACGGAAAAGGAAGGGGTGGCTTATTCAATGCCCAGACCTACACAACTAAGTTAATTATGATACTTATTATATATACTTATTTAACAATTAAGCCAATAATTCCGGTAAAAAATTCAAAGAATTTATTTTATTTAAATCATATCGACATATTAGTTGGATACAGTGTTGCCAATATATGACAAATAGATAATGTTTGCTGTTGCGGGTTGATTGAAACGATGAGGCTGGTAGAGATGTATATTTCCAATGGCTTAGTTAAAACTGATAAAATTAACAAATAAAAATACTTTAATATACTGAATACAATACAGCAAATTAAGACAAAAATGATACGGCGACACGACATCCTAGTACGTGCAATGTTAAATTAACAATTATTGAATTTCTTGATAAACAAAATTTTTTCACTACACTGCACGCATAAGCATAGATATGACTCCATATTTTTTTTGATGGGTGAAAATGGTATGGTAACCCCGCCTGCGCTAACGGGATACGCTGACAGAGCACTAGTGAAGGGTGATAGATGAGAATGAAAACAGGCCAGTTAGTCCATCATGATGAATTCATCAGGAATTAACCATGATAGTTTCCAGGGGGAACTGCGAGGAGGTCAACCTGGTTGGGTATATTGCTAGCAATAGGATTCTCAGTCTCCATTACCAACAATCCATTTCCCCCCAAATATGACTCCATATTTGTCATATGGAACAGGCTCGATATCTTTTTACACTTGTCAAATTAGAAATTCATCCAGATGTTGAACGAAATGTCATTTTTACGAGTATATTGCAAGTCGATTGCGTAGCATAGTTGCCATTAACAAGAACGAATAAAATATTATTACTATCTCATTTTACACGTATCGCCGCCGGATTATTGGGCTGGCGCGGTGCCAACTCCACCGCCATTCTTCATTTTTATAATGGTCTCGTTTTATTTGCAAATGTTTTATTTTTAAAAACAGATATACGGTAGATTTACGGCAGTGAAGGAACTCTATGCAGTATACCAAATTATATAATATAAATTTTTGATACTGTGGCATTTAGATGATAGATTTACGATGAATTTTGTAGGGGAGACTTTGTACAAAAGTCGATTGCTTGGGTACTTCTGTCCCATTCGTGTTTCAACCGTGAAGCAGTTGTGTTTGCATGGCTGTGTTTCGGTTTGAAGAATTGGATATGGCGTGAATTTACAGGGTACAGAGGAATAACATCTGAGTCCTCAGGAATGGCAACGCATGGGAGGTATCATGGGCGAAACAGTACACTCTGTTATGTCCATGGTACTGCTCATGTCTATAGGCGACGGTTACCACTTTCCATCAGGTGGGCCGACAGCTTGTTTGCCATTCTAAGTTGTATAAAAAAAAATTATTTAGTGTAGATACTAATCAAGGGAATCAAGATATTAATGTTAATAGACATCGCCATTGCACGTACGAGTATATATAACTCAAACTTTAAAAAAACAAACTAAATAACTCCAACCAGCAATCCAACAGACAGTCTCGTCTAAACCACGCAGTGTCCCTAATCTTATAATCATTCGGGATGTGCCGAAACCATAGAACCACTGGTTGTTCCTTACACTGTGATGCAGGTGTACAAGTACTTTGCGTGTCTATTTTTGACTAATTTCGCGTTCTGGCTTTACAGCTCAGAGTTTCTACACAAAATGTATGTCGAATAAATAGGATAAATATAAACAGCAGTACTGGAAGACATCGAGAGAGATCTCCAGAAGTGGGTTGAAATATAGTGACAATGATGTTGATGTTGACGAAATAGAATTAAAGACAATCGCAACGTTTTCATTCACGACCTAAAATATAATAAGCTACTTTTAATTTCTAGATATTAGATACAAATACCTACACGGATTTTTATGTTATTTATAAGTATATACAAAGTGTAACAATTATTTGTTTCCCAAATAAAATAAAAAAAATACTGATCACTTAATACATAATGTACTTTATCCAGAGACCTGACTAGATTATTTTTTTCCAATTTCGAACTCTGTACCATATCAAAAAAAAATATTTTATGGCAATAATGTTCTAAAATATATACAGGAACAACCCCTAAATCCAATTTAAAATGCTTTTATTTGGTAAAATCTTTAAAGATGTAATTTTAATTATTCAAATATATTTATTTCATACGACGTTTTAAAAATTTAACATGCTATTTCATACTTATAATTTTTATTGTAATTAAAATAAATATTAATACTGTAAGTTCTGAAATTATGTAAAATGAATCCAAGTAAATAAAACTTTACCGTTTTGCACACCATTAAAACAATGCGGCTAAATATGTGATTCTATAACGCTAATGAAGATCTATTGCAACCATATTTATGTAAATAAATTATTATTATATTATAAATTATTATCGACTATAATATAGTATGCAATGCACTCTACTGACCTATAGTGGTGATGACGATGATGGAGTAGAACAGCGCGCCGGTGAAGGTCCACTGTATGTGGTCGGTGCTCTCGTTGCCGTCCCACCCGCGCACCTTCATCTCCAGCAGGATCGCGTTCTCGAAGTCCTGACAACATACACCACATACACGCACCCTTATTCCATTACATATCACCTTTACATGGCTTTGAATAAATAAGTTGACGAATAAATGAGTGAGTCATCATCATCGTCATATCTGCCTTTAACTGTCCACTGCTGAACATAAGCCACCCACTTGGGAGGTTTTACCAGTAGTTGCCGCACTTGGCAAGCGAATTGGCAACCGCAGTTAGGTTTTGGAGATGTTTTAAGAGGGACGCTGCTGCCTATTCTCTACTATAAGCTCCCTTAGTCGCCTCTTACGACACCCACGGGAAAGGAAGGCATGGCCTATGCCAGGACCACATGGCATTGAAGGAATTCAAAGAGATATATTTACAAAGATTGGTATTCGCAAATATATTACGAATTTATAATATTGTCTTACATCAAAATCAAATCGATTGCTTGGGTACCTCTGTCCCATTCGTGTTTCTACCGTGAAGCAGTTGTGTTTGCATGGCCTTGTTTCGGTGTTATGTCCATGGTACTGCTCATGTCTATAGCCGACGCAATATCTAAGTTGTATAAAAAAAAACTCCAGTAGAGTACCGTCCTACAAATAGGTACAAAAACAGCTCTACTGGCGGACTTTACAATAGCTTTATATTTTTTTAGCATTTGCAATAATTTTATCACATAAACCATCGTTTAATTTTAATCACAACTTTATCATTATCATACTTTTAGCTGTTCTACCCATAACAATGTGAGACAGGCGTGACAGATATGTATAAACATTTACACTTTTCAGCTAACATTTAACTCTTTAACCAAAAATTGTCTGAGCGTTTTTTAGACGTTTTATTACTGGACGCCCCATCTATGTTCTACATAGCTAGATGTATATGATCTAATCAATTGTAAATCATATTCAATTCAATACTAGTAACACACTGATATTAAATATCAGTATGACTACAAGCAGTGTACCTTCAGCATGTCCACCACGTCGGAGGTCCAGTTGGTCTGGTTGAGGAGCGGCACGTTGCGCGTCATCAGCCAGATGCTCTGCGTCGTGTTGCTGCGGATCTGAGATATGTTCATCTTCACCTGCGACAACCGTGACAGCGAATAACAAATAGTATTACCACACTACTGCCAATGAAAATAGTCAAAAATACCTATTTTTATTTATTTAAATTACTTATATTGCAATATTTCCTATTATTTCATGGTTCATCACGTAGATCCTAAATATTTCTTTTTAAAAGGCCGGCAGCACACCTGCAATGCCGTTGGTGTTGTGGGTGATCATGGGCGGCGGTAGTCACTTACCATCAGGTGAGCCGCATGCTCGTTTGCCCCCTGTGTTGTAAAGAATAAATTCCTGAATGGATAGCGTGAATATATTTACCAATATTTCTTATTTTTGTTTATACAACGGAGGTTGCAAATAAGCATACAGCTCGTCTGATGGTAAGCGGTCACTCTAGCTTAAGGACGCCTGCAACATTAGAAGTGTCACATGTGCGTTGCCAATCCTGAAAAAACCTTAATACACCCTGTTATAGCGATTTTTATTTCTAACCTATTTCCTCTTGACTCCGTTCAAAAACGAGCTATGAGAATAATCGACGATCCCACGCTCGCAGGCGGCGTCGAGCCCTTAAGTCTAAGGCGAGACTTTGCCTCCCTTTAGTGTTCTACCGCTTGTATAACGGATTGTGTTCTGAGGAATGGTTGGAAATGATATATCCTCACACGCTTGAACCTAAATGGTCACGTGTCAGGGGAAGAGATTATTAGTAATAGGGAAGTTAGTCTCCATTGCTATCAATATACGCCATCAAGTCGACCTCCGCGCGGTTCTCCCTGGAAAATATCGTGACTAATTTATCGTTGAATTCGTCACGATGGGCTAACTCAGACCTGCCTTTTCATCCTTACTTATAACCTTTCACTACCCCGCCAGTGTATACTAATAGCGCAGGCGGGGTTACAATGCCATTTTCGCACATAAAAAAAAAATGGTCACGTGCAGTTTTAAAGGACTTTTCTCCCACGAATGATCAAGTTGTGGAATGAGCTACCTGCATAGATTTTCACTAGAGACTATAGTACAGAGTCGACAACGTACACCCCTAGTATTACAGGCATCCATAGGCTACAGTAACCGTTTACCGTCAGAAGGGTTGTATGCTTGTTTGCATACACCTTCTTAATATAAAAAAAAAAAAACATATTAAACGATGCAATTGACAGATAATAATTATTTTCAATTATAAAAGGACATCAGAGTGACGCTATAGAGTCCTGTTCTCTCCTTTAAATAAAACACAATTACAAATACTACTTTAAATAAAAAAAAGTTTCACTATTCTTAACTATTTAAAATTTCATAAAATTTATATTTACTATCGTTGACAACTCCCTCGACAGCTAATTAACGTCGCCGCTGACAAATTGCTTATTGTATAATTAGTTCTAAGGAGAACAAATGACGTCATCAGTCTAATTGACTGACCATCAAACAGCAAAAACTCTAAGACATTAACTCTTACAATCATTACAATTGTCATCAGCAATATGATAATCTTTACTTATCTTAAGAAGTCCATATTACTCTTGTGTACATTACACTAAGAAGCAATTTGGTGCGGCGTACCTCCCGTTCGTGCTGCGCCTCCAGCCGCTCAAAGGTGACGGCGCCGAGGATGCAGTACGCAACCACCAGGCTGATCATCACGAAGTGCGAGAACACCACCGAGCACAGCTTCCACGTGTAGTACAGCACCTGCGTACAGGTGGTGAAGGGATTGTTAATAATGCGAACTACCAGTTTCATTGCTAGCAATGCACCCTATCAGATCGACCTCCACGTGGTCCCTTCTGGAAAAAATCGTACTAATTTTTTTTTAACTTAGTATGGCAAACAAGCTGACGGCCGATGAGGTAACAAACTTCTTAAAAAAAGTCGTTGTTCACAGCTGCTTGGTTTTTTTTTAAATGATAATAATAATAATAATAACTTTATTGTAGCTAAAAGTCGGGTATACAATTTCTTATACAGTGATTACTACACTAGGCTCGCAGGCCTGTATCGTAGTAGTCAGTGAGTGGCTAATTTTGTTCATATTTATTGCCATTTACAATCCGGTTCCTGTACAATTTTATCATTTAGATACTCGAAAATTAAAATACATTTAAAATGAAATAATAAAAAAAAATATAAAATACTAAACAAGAATAAAGAAAAGAATATTAATGTAAAACATTTAAGGTTCTATAAGGTACTTATTTCTAATACTATTACATATATTTATTTTTGAAAAGAGAGTGTGTGTGTGATGTGTGTGTGTGTGTGTGTGTGTGCGTGTGTGTGTGTGCGTGTGCGTGTGCGTGTGCGTGTGCGTGTGCGTGTGCGTGTGCGTGTGCGTGTGCGTGTGCGTGTGCGTGTGCGTGTGCGTGTGCGTGTGCGTGTGCGTGTGTGTGCGTGTGCGTGTGCGTGTGCGTGTGCGTGTGCGTGTGCGTGTGCGTGTGCGTGTGCGTGTGCGTGTGTGTGTGTGTGTGTGTGTGTGTGTGTGTGTGTGTGTGTGTGTGTGTGTAACGGCATATATAGCGGCATTTCAACCATAAGATGGAAGTAGTTGTTCTGTTTCAATGTAATTTAGATTAATTAACCAGTTTTTTATTTTACATTTTACTTGGTAATAGGATAGTTTTATGCATGGGAATTTTCTGTTAACACTATTATATATATATGGATGAGAAAATAGAGGTAAACGCTTTACAAATGTAGTACGAACAGGAGGTAGCCCAATTTTACAAGTACGACTCTCTGCAAGAGTTTTGTAGTCTGGCCTTTTCAGAACACTCTTATGGTGCGCGCAGATTACTCGCCATATGTAAAGTTGTCGTACTCGAAGTACATTAGCTTCTTTATAAAGCGAATCTGTGGAAAACCTAAAAGGTTTATTGAGCATCACTTTAAGAACTGCACGCTGTGCTCTTTCAATTTCAATAAAACTACTTTTATTCGATCCTCCCCATACTGCTATACAGTAAACTAAGATCGATTCACATATTGAAGTATACACCATCTTAAGAGTATCAAGAGGAGTAGATCGTCTAAGAGATTTAACTATATTTATTATTTTTTTAAGTCGTGCAGATAGACAGGAAAGTTGTTTCTTGAAAGAAAGGTTTTCGTCTATTTGTATTCCTAAATATTTTACTGAATTTGTTCTCTCAATCGTTTTGCAGTCACAGAATCCTAAAAATGTCATCATGTTGTTAATCTGCTCTACGTGCTTACAGGTATGAATAGGTAGAGGAAGAAGTTGTTTAGGAGCAGATGCGCAAGTTTTATGGAAAGCTAGATAAGTTGTTTTATTTATATTTAGAGTCAGTAGGTTGTGATCAAACCAAGAAGCTAGGTGTGCCATGCCACTTTCAGCCAGCTGGTGAGTTTTTTCCCAAGACATTTCTGTAAAGAGTACCACTGTGTCGTCAGCGTAGCCTATTATACTTGCTATGTGTGGTAATTGATTTAATAAGTCATTTATATAAATATTAAATAAGGTTGGTCCAAGAATACTACCCTGGGGAACTCCTAAGTTTATTGGTAAAGCATTACTAACAACATCGCCGACTTTGACGGACTGATAACGGCCAGTAAGATAACTGTTGAACCAGTTGTATGGAATACCCCTAATACCAATACAATCAAGTTTTTTTAAAAGTATCAACGGCGATACCGTATCAAAGGCTTTCGCTAAATCTATAAAAACTCCAATGCAGCAATTTTTTTGGTCCAGTGCGGTAGAGATAATATCTGTTAGAAGGGAAATGGCATTTTCTGTAGAGGATCTTTTTCTAAAACCGAATTGGTTCTTCGAGATAATTTGATTTTTTTCTAAATATGTAACAAGTCGCTTATTTATAACTTTTTCGAGGAGTTTAGAAAAAATGGAAAGTAGAGAGATGGGTCTATAATTTGATGGCTCATTTTTACTACCGTCTTTGTGAATAGGAGTAACTAATGCACGTTTCCAATGATCAGGGAATATACCTTTGGAGATACTAAGATTGAAAATATGAACTAGCGGTTCCAGAATAATATGTCTTATTTGTTTAATAAGTGTTGCATTATAACCGTCGATACCAGGAGCACTTCCGTCTTTTAATCCCTTTATAAGTGAATCGACCTCAAATATGTCGGTCGGCTCCATATAGAGGGATGCCGAGGGTGACTTGGAAGCTGATACTTTAGAGGACAAGTCTGATTCCTCAATATTGAGTTTTGCAAGGGTCTTCTCAGCCAAGTTTTTACCAATAGTTGTGAAAAATTTATTGCTGATGTTTAGTGATTGTATTGGATCTTCATTTAGCTTAATGAGATTATTTGCCTCATTCTTTTTTCTAGAAATGTGACAAATTTCCTTAATTGTTGACCATAGCTTTTTTGGGTTATGCTTGTTATCAGTAAGTTGTTCGTTGTAATATTTTGTTTTAATTCTGGTCAATAGTTCTGTAAGAAAATTACGATAACGTTTATAGTTTCTTTGTATTATTGGATCAGAGGGGTTTTTCCTAGCTTGAATATGTAACTTGTCTCTTATTCTCTGACATCTCACCAAACCGGGAGTAATCCAAGGTTTTAATGTACCATATAATTGACGAGTAGTAATGTATTTTGAGTTACTTTCTAATGTATTTTGAAGAACAATGGAAAAGAGCTCAACGGCTTCATTAACATCTTGACTTTCTAAGACGGTGGACCAATCAGCCTCAGCTAGTTCCCTGAGTACTCCCAGTGAGTCCGTTTTACGAAAAATCTGTTTTTTTGAATTTTGAATTATAGATGCAGTTGAGAGACCGGCAATACAGATATCATGATCGGTTATATTACTCTTACAAATTAAACCTAGGGCTGTTCCAGATGGATTCTTAATATATATGTGATCAAGGCACGCTTTATTACGGGTAGGTTGTGTAATAGCTGGAATGAGTTGATGTTCAGCCATTAGACATGTGTAGTCTATCAGTTTGTCAGTGTTATTGCTAAGTAAGTCAATGTTAGTATCGCCGGCTAGAATTATAGTTATTTTATTTTTCTGTGACACTAAAATATCACTTAAAGAGTAAAGAAACTTTTCAATGTTAGTAAAAGATGGCGAACGATACATACCTAATATAAACACATTACCCACAGTGATAGCCAAAAAATTGCATTCATCACACAATGGTTCATAAACAGTAGGACTCCATGTTGATTTTATATAAGCAGTTATTCCACTACTTTTATTTATAGCTTTATTTGTACGGTAGGCGCGATAACCAGGTATTTCAGGAATTATAATGTTTTCATTAAGCCAACATTCTGTTAAGATTAATATATCAAATTCCAAGTTAAGTCTCTTAAGAGTAACCAAGAAATCATCCAAGTTATGTTGAATGCTTCTAATATTTAATGTTAGAATTTTAAGATCTAAATCGGAAGTTATGTGGGAGGAACATGTTTCGGGTTTCTCAAGCACAAGACATTTGATTGATAGTACGTTATCTATATCGATATCTATTTTGAATATTTATATTATATTGTTGAAAAAATATGTTTATGCTTGAGAGAGAGAAACCGATTATAACATGTCGAATAGAAGCCAAAAAATATGTTGAATTATTAATTAGTTGATGCCGTTCTGTAATTTTTTGAAAGGTGTGTGTATGTAGTTTATTATTTTTGTTTTGAGTGGCCATATAAGAATCAGTACAATAAATTGTGTTTTTGTGTAATATGAAGTGAAAAAGTGCAAATATAATAAAAATTTCCAGAAATAAATCACCTTCAGGGTATTTTGTTTTAACTAAAAGTATTAAGACTCTTTGCTTCCATTTAGAATGATTCACTATCAGCACATGCTGGACCAATTTTGTTGTCGATGTCATCCATAGATTGTATGCGAATAGCCGGCTTATTTTCGTTTTGACGAATATATATAAAGCCATTCCGTATCCAGCAAAAACGGAAGTTATGTTTTTTTACGCGTAGTCTAGCTTCTCGAAATAACAGCTTATTCTTTCTTGTGAGGCGTTCGTTGATGTATATAATTTTGGGAGGTCCATTAGCTATTCCTTCTGTGGTGAGCTTTTTATATGCTTTGCTAGCCTTAACAATTTCGTCTCTCTTTGTTCGTCGCACGAATTTAATTATGATAGGACGTGATTTTAACTCTTGTCCCGTTTTAGGTGTGTGTGCAGGCTTAGCTCCGGCTCGTGTTACATAGCATATTTCAGACTTTAATAGGTCTATTCCTAATACTTTAATGGTGGTAATTACAGTGTTGATCAAATTCTCGCCACTATCCTCTGGTATACCAATCACCTCGAGTTCGTTTGAAATTGCATTTTGCTCCTGAAATTCTAGTTCCTTTTGAGATTGAGCAATCTTGCATTTCAAATCAGAGATTTCATCATGGGCATCGTTTAGTTTCTTCTTATATTCAAATAAAGTTTCATTTAATGTAGAGGAGATAGAGAGAACTTGAGACCTCAGATCTGTGAGTTCTTTTCGTAAGGAAGTTATCTCACCCATTTCTTCCCTCAGTTTCTTTATTTCATACATCAAATCGGACAGATTCACATTACCTTCAACAGCTGTGCATACAGTTCTACCTCTGGAGCCTCGCATTGTATTCACATTTTCGCTGTCTATTTGATTGTCGTCGAGGATGACTGTGGTCGGACGCGCAGGAGTGTTGGAATTATCACCTTTTGGTCGAGAGCTTGAGCACAGGGGGCACAACCACTTATTCTTTTGCTTTTGCATTATCCTCTTCCACTCTTCTTTCTTTAAATTAAGACACATTAAGTCATAATACTTTTTACATTTTTCGCACTCCATGTATTCTGGGCTCTGAATAGCAGTACTGCAGGCAAAGCACGACTTCGGCATGTTTACACTTCTACTACTACCGTACAGCACTAGCGATTAATGGGCAACCTGTTGATACTCCTGAGCGGCGACCGGCGGCACGTCACACGCAAAACCTTCAAGGTCAAATGCCTGCGATGACAGCGTGATATTGAAGCGGCGGTTACAATAAAACTCCAAATATGTTTACTGAAATATATCTTAAATACTTAGTGGAATCTCAATTCAATTTCACTGTCACTTTGGATTATTCTTTAGCTTTAAAATAATGTAAATTGTACTATGATACTACGACTTTAAACTACACAAAAGGTTTTAGAATACGGAACAAAGTAATACGTGTCTACGCAGAACCGGTGTCAAATACTCAAATGAATGATAATGGACGTAACCCTGCCTCCGCTAACGGTATACACAGGCGGGGCACCAGTGAGGGATGATAGGTAAGAATGAAAAGGTTGGTCAGTTAGCCCATAGAGATGAATATACCTGGAATTCAGCACGATAGTTTTCAGGGGGGAGCACATGGAGGTCGACCTGCCAGGGTATATTGGTAACAATGGGACTGGTAATCTGCATTACTAACAATCCTTTCCCCCCATAGCTGCCAGTTATTCCGCTTACAAGTATGTAAATTATATTAGCATGCATTTCGCTGTCTTCAAATATATTTTAAAAAAGATTAATGATAAGGCATATCATGAATACTTCATCATTCCGATCTTGGTAGATTTACGTACTTTTTGTTTACGTTCCAGCTGGAGTTTTGTGACGCTGCCTCTACGTCATTTTTGGATAGATAATGAAGTGAAAACATGTTTTTTGCTATTTATATACGGAAAGTGAACTAACAATTAATTTAAATACAATTTTTTTTTTAATCTTATTGATTTACTGAGAAATTTGATGAACGCATCGTTTTATCAAATTTCTCAGTATTACCACAAATAATATAATACTATTTATGTATGTATTATTAATTTCAAATAGATACAGGGTAAAATGGAAATCAGCTATAATATTAAATCGGAAAATTCAAATGTTTTGATCATTTGACATTTTCGATAGCTGTTTCTAATTCTATATCTCTTCTATTATTGGAATAGAATTAAATTTATTCGCTAGAAACATTGTTTATTGGCGTGAATTTACTGGGTACAGAGGAATAACACCTGAGTCCTCAGGAATGGCAACGCATGGGGGGTATCATGGGCGAAACAGCACACTCTGTTATGTCCATGGTACTGCTCATGTCTATAGGCGACGGTTACCACTTTCCATCAGATGGGCCATCAGCTTGTTTGCCATTTTAAGTTGTATAAAAAAAAAAAGATTTCTCTAACGCGTTCGCTTGAAATGGCGAATACTCTAAAGGCATTTAACTCCTTAGTCCTAAACCAACATGTTCCAGATTAATGTAGTCCTTTCTCTATGTCCTGTCTTCTAAAGTGTTAATACCCAATCTAATGAATTAAACGTTTCCTTTTCAACAAATTAAATCATATTACCTTAGCACATTTGCTCGGTGGTGGCAACGGCGTTATGGGGTACTCCGGCCGCTCCAGGCGCCCGTCCCGCCGTGACATCTTAACTAAACAAAACTAAACAAACACACACTACACCATAAACTCACATCCACTAATAAATTCAAACCCAACGATCCGCATACAACATAATTCACAACATCACAATTTATTCGCATCATTAATTTCTTTCGTAATCATCGCGGGCTTCACTAAATCCTGTGTTTACATTACGCCGAGCTCTCATTGATGACTGGCTATCAATAAAAATCCACTTGAAACACTCGTCATCGCATTAGACAGGCGACGTGGTGGATATTATATGGGCTTATGATAAATATTTACAGTATTATATTGGATTGATTTCGCTCAGGTATGGCGGGCGAGCGGGCGTGGCGCGTGCGCCGCCGTACTACCGACGTCGACGTTACCGCGGGATAAATTGGGAGCAGAGAATCCGCCAACAGCCAGTTTTACGATCAAACAGGAATAGGACGTTTATTTGGGTCGAATCGACATATCTATTCCATTCATGATCTGCTATATAATCGTAATATTTCTGGAATTGTAGATAGTACTCGAAGAATTGGTTACCTTCTATTGTAAGCGAATTATAAAATAGAGGTTTTTCCAATTCACCTGTATATTTCGTTTGTATGTTACGCAATATCTTTGCCTATCTCGAAGCAGTTTCCTTTATGTTTCTGGGTAAAATTAATTTCTTCGTCCACCTGATGATTAGCAGTTACCGTTAACCTAACCTTAAACGTTAGACATACGTATAAAGGTTTTTCATGCAACTACCAGAGGGAGACTTTGTACAAAAGTCGATTGCTTGGGTACTTCTGTCCCATTCGTGTTTCTACCGTGAAGCAGTTGTGTTTGCATGGCTGTGTTTCGGTTTGAAGGGTGGGATATGGCGTGAATTTACTGGGTACAGAGGAATAACACCTGAGTCCTCAGGAATGGCAACGCATGGGCGAAACAATATACTCTGTTTAGTTCATGGTACTGCTCATGTCTATAGGCAACGGTTACCACTTTCCATCAGGTGGGCCGTCAGCCTGTTTGCCATTCTAAGTTGTATAAAAAAATAAAAACTAGAATGACAAAAAAGCTGACGGCCCACCTAATGGAAAGTGGTAACCGTCGCCAAGTAAATGCATATGTGGGAAAAATCAAACGGCAATATAAATAACTACATTCTATATTGTTAACAGTATTTACAAAAAAATTATATGAATAAATAAAGTTTAAGAAACAGAAAATATAAAATGCATAGTAGATAAGAGATGATTGAACAGTATAGAAAGAATAAGAGTAAAAATTTATATATAAATACAGAGTGACTTCAAATTTCAAATCTACTCTCTGTAACGAAAAGCATATTAGGTATATGTTATTTATACATATATTTATTTATTTATTTTAAAAGGTACATCAACAGTGTAAATACAGACATTAATTTCAATTGATACACAGGGCTTGCATCTTGCATTTACACCAATTACAGATATACACAACATTTCCTTAAGTCATCGATTACATATTAACAAAACTGACACCAACGAAACTAAAAAAAACCATACATAAGAATACATGTATATTATACAATTTATTTCACCTATTTAATACAAAAAGAAGTAAAGATATTTATAAACCGCCATGATGTAAATATTGAACAATATTTACATACAGACGTTACAAAATTGCCAAGCCCTCCATTATACAGCTGTGATAACATTCAAACACACAGCAAGAACTCAATACTACAAAAATACCGTTATTTGGCATAAATATTTAGGAAAACAAAATCGACAATAACTAAAAACACGTCCAGTATAGTATTGTATAGTGTAATAACGTTGACAGTATCTAATAATGTTAATAATACATTAACAAGAACAGACAAACAAATATAATTAGTTATATTTATCATAAATCACAGATAACTCCGCCCGAGTTCAGTTGAGATTTCAATGGAATCTTATTACAGTAGAGACAAAAAGGTGGGTCTAGTCAGCATATAGACTGCTAGCCTGTAGTAGTACTCTATGGTATCTATATTCCGAGAGGGAAGGGATTGTTAGCAATGGAGTTTGACAGTCCCATTTTTATACAAATTTAAATAAACATGATTTTTTTATACAAATTAGACTGGCAAACAAGCTGATGGTCCACCTGATGGAAAGCGGCAACCGTCGCCTATAGACATAAGCAGTACCATGGATATAACAAAGTATACTGTTTCGCCCATGATACCCCCCATGCGTTGCCATTCCTGAGGACTCAGATGTTATTCCTCTGTATCCAGTAAATTCACGCCATATCCCACCCTTCAAACCGAAACACAGCCATGCAAACACAACTGTTTTACGGTCGAAACACGAATGGGACAGAGGTACCCAAGCAATCGACTTTTGTACAGTCTCCCTCTCCCTATTTACAGGGCTTTTGGTCACAGTTTAAATCTATTATATCTATTACAGAGTATCTATTAACTACAGTTGCAATAATCACCGGATATTTCAAGCATATTTCCTCTGAACCGTCCCTACAGTGGACGTATATGGTCAGCGCCGCAATGCTTAGGCTACACAGGCTATAGCCTAGGAGCTCCCACCACAAATGGACTCTTGCTACAAATGAACAGAATTGATTATAATATTAGGTAAATGGAAAAGAGGGAACATAATTTTCTACCAATTTGTACTAAATTTTTATTACTCGCAACACTATCATCATGGCTGGGATTAGCCATTTTAAGTACTGTATAGATACCTGGTAAAACGATTAAAAATTTAATAATAGAAAATTAATTTGTTATTCTAAGGTTACATTTTGAAATATAATAATCTATTTTATACGTAAAATGGGGCCTCCACCACAGTTGTAACCGAGAGACCGTAAATGTGGCACTCTATTTATTCTATTAGTGAAACGAAACTAAAAAAAAATACATGAGTCGAAATACAACAACAAATATAACGTCCCATACTAACTAGACAACGAGTTAACAAAAGGAACCCTACTTTTTTATAGTTTTTGACTCATATTTCTTATAGAAAAATTCAATATTAATGCGGTCGATTCTGAGGCTACAATTTCTCTATTTTTAAAATTAAAATTTCTATTTGATCTCACAGCGAAATCTTTATTGTAAGGACCAATATGAATTAACTTTCTATAAAAGTCAAAATTATTATAAATTTCATCACCTATAGACCTATAGACAATTCCGTCGCCTATAGACATGAGCAGTAAGTACCATGAACTTAACAGAGTATACTGTTACGCCCATGATACCCCCCATGTGTTGCCATTCCTGAGGACTCAGGTGTTATTTATCTGTACCCTGTAAATTCACGCCATATCCCACCCTTCAAACCAAAACACAGCTATGCAAACACAACTGCTTCACGGTAGAAACACGAATGGGACAGAGGTACCCAAGCAATCGACTTTTGTACAAAGTCTCCCTCTGGTGAGTAAATAACAAGTTTAGTGCGGTACCTCAGAACCGAGCCCACTGATGGTACTCCCTTAGCAGAATTCTAATGATTTCAACTTATCCTGTGGTGTTTAGACATAAGTTCTTTAGAATAGAAATAAATTAATTAAATAAATAACAATTATTTCTGTTAATAATCTAAAATTCTAGACTGTCACCAATGGCCACGAGTAATGTATACTTCTTCTCGCTCAAACATACACACTGTGTGTATGTATGTGTGCGTTTGTAACTCAAAATGGTTATAGCCTAGAATCGTTCATTTGTATATCGTCCGTGGGTGGAGCGGGTCGGATCTTGCGGCTGGCGATCTGCTCCGCCTCCTTGATGGTATCGGGTAACCTCGTGTTCAGGGTCTCCGGCGTGGTCAGCATCAGCCCCCCCGCCACCAGTGCAGCCGCGCCGAACAGCACCGACGGCAGCCACTCCACGTAGATCGCCTGCAGTCAAGATTTTTTTCAACTAATGAAGATGACAAAGTAATTTTGGATGATGATCATCATATCAGTGAGTAATTGTCCACAGCTGAACATAGATCGGGGGTAAAGGGATTGTTAGCAATGGAGTTTGACAGCCCCAATATGCCCTATAAGCTCGACGTCCACGTGGTTCCCTCTGGTGACCATCGTGAACAATTCTTGTTGAATTCGTCACGATGGGCTAACTTACTTACTTCATCCTCACCTATCATCTTTCACCGGTGCCCCGCCGGTGTATACCGATAGCGCGGGTGGGGTTACCATTCCATTATCACCCATTAAAAAAAAGATTTTCTCTTTTTTTCTTAAATAATAATTAAAAAAAAAGTTGAACATAGACCTCCCTAATAATGGGAGTGCTCTGAATAATTGTGTATATTCTGTGGATTTTTCACAGAGTATGTTAACAATAAACTCAAATTAAATATATAACAACTGTGTCTATCTTAGTTTACTTCAGGAAAGAAATAAAAAAATTTAATCTTTAACAATTCTGCCATTCAAAAAGACTAAATAATAGTTTAGGCTTTAACTGGTTAGTACTTAAACCGTCTGTGGAGAGCGCCACTACCTATAAATTGATTGCTCATATACTTTTATATGTATTTGTATTTGTACCTCACAAAGGGATTAGTTAGGTTTACGTAATGATTCGTGCGTTGATACAATTATTGTTGATTTGTTTTAGTTCTAACTGTTGATACTAGATGGCGCTGTTTTCTAAAACACGCTTTAATTTAATTCCCTTGAAGGCAGGTTCTAGCAATGCAAATTAAAATTATCCCTTAATGTACACAAAAAAGTAATTGAATTGAAAAAAAAAAACATAATAATGCACAAACACGAGCTTATCTCTAAAAGAGATTTCTTATTCTTTCAGCAAACCCAATATAAGAAAAGGAAAACTGACAGTTTATTAGTAGTTACAGCTATACATATGTACCAATCGACATAAATACTAGTCTTTACAATTAAAAACATAAATCGTGTAACAATTTTTTTTATTTACATTATTCTCATTCCTTCGTAGGTGTTTTATTTCGTGGAGTTTTTGTTATAAAATCTGAATGACTGAATTTGCTACAACTGATGTCGTTATGTTTTTGTGAAATACAATGTTACATTATTAATTTAATTATAGTACGAAGGAAATGAAATCGAAATGAGGACAAGGAGGAGAATTGAAACGATAAGCTGGACAGACAAAGTAACGAAAGAGGAAGTCTTGAAAATAGTAAATAAGAAACAAACAATAGAGAATAGAAGAGGCAAAATGCTGAGTTACGACATTACGATTTTTTAAAGAACATTGTAGAAGGAAAAGTAGAGGGCAGAAGATAAAGGGGAAGACCGAGGAATAACTACATGGGACGGATAAAGGAAACACTGGGTCTCATGTCGTAAAGGAAGGCCAAGGTCTGGGATAGAGCTGGCTTGAAGAAGATGCATGAATTAGTTGCACCGACGAGAGGAAACACTTAAATGAAAAGAAAAACTAAGGAATACGTAAACATCAAGCATTTATAATTAAAAAATAAACGATTTATAAAAGGTTTGTTTTGAATTGAATTAAAATTATTTTTCATTCAAAACAGAAAATAAATCATCTAATATCAATTACAATCTAAATAATTACCAATTTCTTTTAAAATGTTTTTTTTTGTATTAAACTTAGTAACACTTTAACAAACAGTCATTCATAATATTGCTATGACAACAAATTTAGCATAATTTGTTGTTGATAAAATGTCATTGTATGTAAATTTAATTAATCGCGGTCCACTTGCAGGTACGTAAAGTCTATTGTGGCATCATCATTTAGGAAACGTCCGCTGACACAGTAGCTATTATATTTAATAACAGCCACAAAGTACAGAAGTACATAATGTACATATACCATTATTATATTGTGTACAACATTCATAGTTACTTATTTAGAAATTCGCCGAAAAATGCATTTTAATTGGTGGCAGACATGTTTCTAAGATTATCCAATCAATAGCTTTGTAATTACCTACATTAATTGATGTTTTGTAATTTTACAAAACATTTTTTTTCTGAAGACTTCTGACACATGGCTTTATAAATACGTCTAGTATTTTCTAGCAGTAAGACCTAGATTATCTATATTAGAATTAATCAAAACATATGAGAAATAAACCCTAACCTTAAGTTTTATCATCGATAAAATAAAAAGACTAGACAATGTTAGTTGTTGTAATGGCTTTATGTATATGTTGGTTTATTGAATGTTTTTTTTTTTATGATTAAACTGATCTTAACCTAAGGGGAAAGGGGGGATTTTTAGTAATGTGGACTACCAGCCCTTTTGCTAGCAATATACGCTATTAGGTCGACCTCCAAGTGCCCCCCCCTGGAAATCATCGTGTTGAATTCCTGGTATATTCATCATGATTGGCTAACTGACCTGTCTTGCCATCCTCACCGATACCCCACCAGCGTATACCGTTAGCGCAAACGGGGTTACCATTTCATTATCATCTATTAAAAAAACTAATTTTAACCTCATCTAATGGAAGTAATGATAAAGTTCAAAATGAAGTTTGCCAGCCAATATACCTACAGCTATTTACTTCAGTCACGAAGGATTCCAGATCAAGAAAAAATATATATATACTTAATCGTACGCATTCAGTGCAATACAGTGTCTAAGTAATGTCCTCTTCGCATCTATTGGTGACAGTTACCATTTTTCATCAAATAGGCCGTCAACTTGTTTGCCATTTCCAATTTCATAACAAATATTTCACAATATTAAACAAAGTAAAGTTACAGCATACCCTGTTATGTCCACAGTACTGCTCATGTCTATAGGCGACGGTTACTACTTTCCATCAGGTGGGCTTTCAGTTTGTTTGCCGTTCTAAGTTGCATGACAGAAAAATTACCAGTAGAGGCATCTGCGGTGCGACGATGGAGCCAATACGGCCAACCATGGAGCAAAAGCCGAGGAGCGAGTGTCGCGCGTGCGTTGGGAACAGCTCCGACGTGTACATGTAGATGCCGCTGAACGCCTGCGTGATGGCTATCTTGCCCACCAGGTACAGCACTGTCACCAGCCACGGCAGCGCTGCCGAAATACAGTCGTGATAAATTATTAACATTCAGACAAACTTCATAAGTTTTACAAGAATTACTGGCACTTTAAAGATTATTCTTCGAAACTCTGCTTTTATTTCTGCGCTAAGCAGGTGCTTGCATGAATGTTTTGTACTTTTCTTAAATTTAAATTAATTTTTATTATCTCAAAATGTTTTGACTAAATTTTATTTTCTATGTTTAAGTGCTGTGTTTCTCTAACTTGTCTAAGTAGATAGGGTATAACAGCCTGGGAACTCTTAGCGCCCTCACATGAATAGTACAAGTAATAGATACATAAATAACTACTTACATTTGGGGACAAAAGTGATCGCCATGCACGACAGACCGCACACAGTGTAAGCCACCAGCAGCGTCCGCTTCCGTCCAACCCGGTCGAGCACCAGCGCATTGGTGACCACCGCGATCACTTCCACGCTCACCACCAGCATGTAGTTCGTATACTTATCACCGGCCAGCGATACAGAGTTGATCGCCAGTCCGTAGAACACGAATGTACACGTGATCCACCACCATGAGCATATCGCCAGCCTCATCATTATGATTGGTGAGCGCAGCACCTGCATCCATAATCCTTGTTGCTCTGGATCTTCTTTCTTCTGTTCTACCGGCCTTTGTTTTTCTTCAATTAACTGTTTCATTGTTTCGTCTGATAATGTCACGCTGTTCATTTTAGCCGCTTTCATTATTATTGCTACAGCTTCTTCTTTATAACCTTTAGATAGAAGCCATCTGATGCTCTCAGGAAGTAAATATATATATGACAGAAACAGCAACGACGGAGGGTACACCACCAGGATGAATGTGCGCCAGTACGAGAACGTCTTCGCAAGCATCGCGAAGCTGAGACCTCCTATCACTAGCACGATGCCCAAGAATGCTGTAGTTAGTACCCGTTTATCTTGTCCAAGGAGTTCAATCGCTGAAAAAAATTACTAGAAATTAAATAACTGCTAAAATACGCATTATAATTGCAGATATCAAGCCATGATTACTTTATATATCTTATTTTATCACATAAAAATTTAAATGACAGTGATATATGTGCTTACTGAGAATATAGGCAGCAGGGAAAGCGCTGGCGCCAGCCAGCGTCTCCAAAAACTCAATAATCACGTACATTTCATAAGATATTGAAAAAGCCTTAAGCGAGCCTATGGCTCCGACCAGCGTGCAGCTCAGGATCAGAGCACGCTTACGACCCCATCTGTAATAATTTGAGAAGGAAACTTATATTGAAATCCTATCTAATTCTCGACCGTAAATGACTCTGATTTACAAATGATTAAGTTAAAAGTAGGGAAGGGATATATGTCACGTAGTTTACCATTATGTTACTTAGAAGAAATTTGTATCGATTTGATATCTTTGAATACGAGGGAATGTAAACTACAAGGTTTTTGTTTAGTTACTGTGAGGATCCCAAAAAATAGTAAAAAAAAAACTATAACAAAGTTTTGTGAAGTGTAATAGAGAAGCAAAGAACAGATAATAATATAGAAGTAAGAAGTCACCGATCAGAAATGTATCCGAATATGGGCAGCGAGACGAGCATGCCTATGTTGTGTATGGTGCCCACCAGCGTGCGCTTCCACTCCTGGCACCCGAGGTTAAACTGTAACAGACAATCACGATCGTGTTATCACAACCAATTCTTATACCAGAGATTGAAAAACTTTAGGCCGCGTGCTCCGTCTCATATAGTACCAAGTACATAGTTTGCTTGCATTGCTGTGTTCCAGTTAAAATATCTAGGCAGTAAAATAAATAATTTCATGTTTTTTTTATCGGAGCCTAACTCCCCACCGCTCGAGTGGGCCGTCGACTTACTTAATACTAAATTAGTTTGGTAGGTGGTCCTTATACATACATGCCCGGCTATTATTATTTTTTTACAACACAGGGGGCAAACGGGCATGCGGCTCACCTGATGTTAAGTGACTACCGCCGCCCATTATCACCCACAACACCAGCGGCATTGCAGGTGTGTTGCCGGCCTTTTAAGAAGGAATATACTCTTTTCTTGAAGGTTATGTTGTCGTATCGGTTCGGAAATACCGCTGCTGAAAGTTGATTCCAAAGAATGGTTGTGCGTGGAAGAAAGTGCCTTGAAAACGCACGGTGGATAACCAGGATTTTTACACTCATTTCATACATGCTTTACTTTTACAGGTACCATTAAGACTTTAGGTAGGATTTTTATCATTATTTTATTTTTGGGTACTATTTTATTTACTGTTTATTTTCAACCGACTTATTTACATTTTTACTTATTTCTACTTTCCTTATTGCTAGTTAACTACATTTACATTTATATTGCCTAAGTATACTCGGTATACTTATTTAATATAACTTATTTACTAACATAATTTTTATTTACTATTTTTATAATTTTAATACTATAAACTAGGAGTAGTTTACGCTTCTTATTATTAGTCAATAACTTAATGTTAGGAGGACAAGTGTACGGGTAGATCTGGCTGTTCATGCACTATGCACATCAACGAGTTCTATTTTTGTTTGCCACCAAGGCATTAAAGAAATATATAATAAAACTGTGAAAAACCACTAAAAACTAAACATAATTATTTCTGAAGAACACCATAATATTATGGGGCTAACATGGGACCTAAGATTATTATAGACAGAATATCTCCATTCGAGAACAGCGGGTCAACTTTTTTGTGTAAAAATAATTATGAGCGTTCGTCTAAAACCTGTTTTTTATACAACTTAGAATGGCAAACAAGCTGACGGCCCACCTGATGGAAAGTGGTAACCGTCGCCTATAGACATGGGCAGTACCATGGACACAACATAGTATACTTCTATATTTATTTTGTTTTGCAATTTTTGCATCTTTTTAATGCATAAAATACAAACATTATGCACGTTAGTACATAGAACACTGACAAAAAACTAATTTGACAATTAGCTGAAAAAAAATTGATCCGTTTTTGAGACTCAATGCTCTATCTATATAATCTAAGCATGGAGCATTATGCACGTTTATTATACATATTCCTTCATTATCGCCGTCTACATGGCAGTAACATTCATGTCAAGGCGGAACAGTTGTATTAGGGCTACATAAATGAGGTAGCGTTAATTTCGTAACACGGTAAAAAACCTTAAAATATTACCTTATCTACTAAAGTAATCATTACGACCCATTAAACATCCCATAAGAGTTTTAATCTATTGCTATTGTCTACAAACATATTAGCCAGATAGTTTGATGTGTATTGATACAGATTTTCCTTTTTTTTATTCTTTTTAAACCTTTATACATTATACAGAGACTAAACAATGCTGACATAATAACATTATCTTAATACGACGTTATATCTTATAATTAAAAATAACTTTTTCAGTTTTTAACCATGAAACGAGGTCTCGTCGGCAAGCCACAGTCAGCGACGCGTTACCTACTAATACAATGTGTGCAATGAACCGCACCAACGGAACCTGGATGCCACCACACTCACGGCCACCACAGCTATTTTACGTGGCTACAGCCATGAACGCTGACACACTTCACAGAGATTTGCTGTCGTTTGGCGATATATCCAATAGAAGTTCGATACTCTTTTAAAAAGTAAAATAGATAGATAATTTATTTGCATTACTTACAGCACACAAAATATAACATATACAGATATACATGAAAAGCGAGATAACATAAATGATTAATCAAAATGGATAAAGCCAAGTATAACTTTACCTTTTGTGCGTGTGTCATAACAGTACAAAACGGTCACAACTCAGTTTATTTCTTCGCCCTCAAAAGAGCAAATATTTGTATCAAAAAAGGCATTGATTATTGTATTTTAACATTCTAAGTAAACATTCCTGATAATGTAAATGTAAAACATCTTGAATTCATCATGATGGGCTAACTGGCCTGTTTTCATTCTCATCTAATCACCCTTCACTGGTGCTGCGCCAGCGTATCCCGTTAGCGCGGGCGAGGCTACCATTCCATTTTCACCCATCAAAAAAAAACTAGATAATTGCTGACCCTGCAGCACGAAGCTGGTCTACGTGATGACTTGAAAATGCACTCCTGCTTCACACTTCGAACTGGGCGGTGATCTTAATTGTACCTAATTAGATATAGGAATTTTATATTGTAACTTTCATTAATAGAATTAAATTAGTTTTTAATAAAATTTAGATTTTCTTTTTTGAGTCTCCGGGTGTCGTCCTCATAATTAGTACATAAACATAAATAGATCAAGTAAATAACACCTAGTAAAACATCAAGGCAAATTAGAGAGATAGGTAATGAGATTTTACCTGCCTCTCGAACGAGGTAAGGGATTGCGCTAATCTAATGGAAAGAAGTAAGGAGTTACGGAGACAGATAGAGTGAAAATAAACTAAATTTCTAAGAAATTTAAGTTAAAATTATTGTAAATTTAGTTTATATTTAGTTTAGATCAATAAAATAGTATAATCACAAAAGTATCAAGCTAAAATACGTATTAAGTTAAGAGAAATGACACAGCAGATTCGGCCCTTTTATAAAGAAACTTCATAAGTCGTGTCTCCCTCAAAACTGTCAAATGGCTTCCTCTAAATTTCCACCAAATTCAAATAAAGATAGTAGATGCATATTATATCTCATATTCACAATTTCAACATACAAACGGACAGTGAAACGAGAGATGTTGTTTTCTAAAGGAAATGCAGTTCCAGACAATGGTCTTAATGTAACCGGGGCCTAGTTGATTGATAACAGGAAATTACTACTTTTCACATATTAGGGCATGTTGGCATTACTTACACGAGTATGTTGTACTTCATACTAACTAGACGCGGCTTATAACAGGTCAAACATAATATCTGTTATGACTGTTACTGTTATGCAGCGATAACACGTACCAATATCTGTTATTAAATAACAGGTGTTATTTTATTCAATCACGGAAGGAAATAACATACAAATTTGAGTTTAAGAGTACTAACACGATCTAATTAAGAATTCACTTTTCAAAGAGGATTTCTTCTTATGAAACGACTTACTATAATTTTGGTTTATTTCAAATAAATACTAGGTGTGTCTCGTTTTAGCTTATGACAATATTATATAAAAGATAAAGACAAGAATAGTTTCACTTTTATTGGTTGTTATCGAATACTAAAAACGTTGATTGTTGATAGTGATTGTAATAACTTGGTTGGTATGGTGAATTATAAATGATATTTTTTTAACAGATATAATGACATCGCAAGAACAACTGTTATCTATTATTTTCGAATAGTTGTGATTTATATATGATATAATGAACACGCCTCGCTCCTAATGCTAACTCATACATCCTTACATAACGTCTAAACTACTAAAATTGACAACGAAACATTTCTCTTAAAACCCATCATCAGACCGATTACACAAACTAACATCAAAAAGCATCTCGTCTGAATATGTTCTCCACATTGTGAACATACTAAGCAGTTAGGAACAATGCAAAAAGGAAATCAACAGTCATTTCTACGATGTGCATTATTCACATCTTTATGTAACAGTAACTCACTACTAACTACCCATTTATTATTTGCCATAAAAACTGCTTCACTGTCTGTACGTTTATTATTTTTTTTAGTACAGTCACATAAGTATGCAAGTATCAAATGTCTCTAACACACTACCAGAGGGAGACTTTGTACAAAAGTCGATTGCTTGGGTACCTCTGTCCCATTCGTGTTTCAACTGCGAAACAGTTGTGTTTGCATGGCTGTGTTTCGGTTAAAAGGGTGGGATATGGCGTGAATGAGCGAAACATATTAACAATATTTATATTTACTGGGTACAGAGGAATAACACCTGAGTCCTCAGGAATGGCAACGCATGGTAAATATATGGGTATCATGGGCCTATTTTTATTTATAAAATAACACATTAACGAAACAGTAGAGATACTCTGTTATGTTCATAAAGAAACAATATACTGCTCATGTCTATAGGCGACGGTTACCACTTTCCATCAGGTGGGCCGTCAGCTTGTTTGCCATTCTAAGTTGTATAAAAAAAAAAATCGTCGTTTCATTTTTAACGTAGAAAAGTGTTTCGATAATCTAAGATTTATATTCTGCCTCGTAATTATTGATTGGAAACTTTATTGACGGAATGTTTACGATCCCGCGTGGCCGCTAGACGATAAATTCAATAATGGTAACATTAAAAACCGAGGTGAGCTGCAAGGCCCCAATAGAGGTGTAGGGTCATCGGACGTGAAACAGCAATGGGCTCACCTCGCCGCCCGCGGTCTCTACCATAACTCAGAGACATAATAAACAAAATGCATACATATTAATATATTTTTATACCAATAATATAAATATCTTAATAAAACTCTATGTCGCAATGTTCGTTCACGCTAATCTCCGAAACCGATCGAACTATTTTAATAATTTGTTTTAATCATTTATATTTAAAGGCTTTTTATCGTATAAGGATATATCAGCCCCATCATACCATAACCACAGATAATATAATACTATACTAATACCCTAACCTTAATTAGTTATTTCACACGCTAAAACAGAGAGAATCATTGATGCAAAAATACAACAATTAAAGATTTTGCCGTTTCGGAATGTGTACCTGCG